GAGGTCGGTCGCGGCCCGAATAGCTCAGTGGTAACGTCTCTGAATGTGAAGCTGGGTGACACGGGATCGAATCCGCCAGGGAGCACCGGTTCCCTCAAAGATTACAGGTACACCTTGCTGACGAGTGCCAAATAGCACGAAACCCCGATCCAGGGTTTCCTGTCGACTACCTCCAACCACCATCTAAATGTGAACACAATCAACCAAGATGACGTAATAGAAAGATTATAATACTAGATTACGTAATACGAATACTAACAATAGATTTAGTGAATATAGTAATATGATTAAAATGTTTTTTGCTACGATAATTAAAGGTCATGGAGGTGTAAAAATAAATAAGGTGATATGATGAGCATTTACGAATAAAATAATGAGAATACAAGACATAAGTAAAGGGAGAATGCAATAATAATAGGATAATCAAAATACTTAAGGCCAAGGTAACGATAAGACGTTCCTTTAATCATTGTTGTTAGACGATTTTTGATTACGTCTGATGTTCGATCACCTTTAAATTCCAGACTTATATAAAGGTTTTTCTTCGGGATGGAACAATTAGGTTTCTTGTCACAACTACTTGTATTCATATTCTTTTCTATGAAACGTTCTGAGCAACCATTTTTCGTCAAGGTTTTCTTAAGGAATGTGAGTTCTTCGTTAATGCATTCCGTACAGCATATCTGATGTATTCAATAACATAAAGAATGGATGAGGTTTCTCTTTCTACTTAACGGAACTCAGCTATAGAAGCTGGTTTGCTAGTCATGTGAATAGAAGTTGTGACAAGAAACCTAATTGTTCCATCCCGAAGAAAAACCTTTATATAAGTCTGGAATTTAAAGGTGATCGAACATCAGACGTAATCAAAAATCGTCTAACAACAACGATTAAAGGAACATTTAATGAGGCTAAACTGCGAATAACCTTCACCAGTAGGAACTTATTTTCTGTATCCATAAAAGATAAGCTTCCGCGTCTGGTCGCTTCTATGTGCATCTACGAGTTCACCTGCTCTTGTGGAGCAAGGTACATTGGCCGTAGCCAGCGCTCGCAAACAACTCGGATACGGGAACATATCCCAGCTTGGTTCTATAAGGGTGAAAGGAAAGCAGTTAGGAGTTCTACACTTGAACACCTAATCGACTGTAACCATTCTACGGATCCACAGTTTCATTTTAAGGTTGTTTATATGATTCGTTCAAATCTACCCAGATTTCTTCGTATACAGCTCTTACCATCCAGGAGCTTAAACCAGAACTATGCGTACAAAAGAAGTACGTCTTATCGTTACCTTGGCCTGTTATTATCGCATTCTCCCTTTACTTATGTCTTATATTCTCATTATTTTATTCGTAAATGCTCATCATATCACCTTATTTATTTTTACACCTCCATGACCTTTAATTATCGTAGCAAAAAACATTTTAATCATATTACTATATTCACTAAATCTATTGTTAGTATTCGTATTACGTAATCTAGTATTATAATCTTTCTATTACGTCATCTTGGTTGAATGTGTTCACATTTCCTCACGGAATTAGTACTTATACAAAAACAAAGAATTTTCATATATATACGATTGTACAGCTTGATAATAAATTCGTTGAAAAGAGATCCCTTCACTTAACTTCGTGTTTTTAATTTTTAATGTTTAAATGGGAATATTTAAAATGTCTATCGTCAAGAAGTTATGGTGAAGGATGCATCGTCTAATCAGCACTGCGATATTCAGTGTATCACTAACTTGTATTCGTCGAAATTAGGAACTGCTTTAGACTGACATTATTTTAAAGCAATTAGTCCCTTTGATAAATTTCGATAATGTAATAAGAAGACGAAGATTATCAGAACTATGTGATATATTAGCGCAATACATTCCGAACAATCTGATCACACATATACTTGTTAAGAACATTTATATATAAAAATGAAAGGTCAACTAGACTGCAAATGGGGTAAGAGGACACGAGGATAATATTAAGAGTAATAATAATAGTGTGAACACAATTCGAAACCTAATCACTCTGTATAATAAGACAATATTACCAGGGTAGGTTTAAGGTAAGAACAAACTGTTTTTGAATACACAAAGGGGGTTTGAATTTTCGTATGGCTAAGGCTTCAATAAAACTTAGTATACGACCTTTTACACTTTTATACAACATCACATTTTGTTTTGAAATAATGAAGAGTTGTAACGGTACTTTTATTTGAAGTAGGTTCTGATAATATTATCTTGCATGACAATCAATGTTTTGCAACCAAAATGTCTGACTTAAAGAGAATATGGTATAAACGGAAACAAGCTTAATTCTATGTCAGTTTTAAGAGTAGATTTTATTACGTAATGAAAGTTTCTAATCAAATTTTGAAGGCTAAGCACTATTACGTATATAATTTATCCGTTTCGGAATTCACAAAAATACGTGACACTGATATCTTATGGCACGAATCTCAATTAGAAATTTGTTTGGCTTCCAATAATGTTTAAATTGAATTCACTTAATAATTAACGATAACACTCATTTATTAAAACTACCAATTTGGTTAACAACTAATGAATGACTTGATTCTTGGAGTAAGATGCTATGGTGTTTAAAATTAATCCAGGTAAAACAGAGAAAGCAATCACGCCTAGTCAGAGAATGGGCAGATTTATGAAATTTTAGTTACCGAAATTGTAACCTAGCAGTTAAATTTCGAAATAAATTTTCGGAGAAGTAAGGAATGAACACTGTGTGCTAAACAAGAACGAAACAGTTAGAACTTACATTTTAAATCGCTTTTAAATGAAACCGACTTCATTTTTTTATGTACCGCTTCTGTTGAGAAAGCTGATCGATCTATTATTCTGTTCACAATTTCACCACAAATATTTAATGTTAATCATGATTATTATCATAACATTTTCGGTTACCTAAAATGTCTAACAAACCCATTCCGCTGAAAATCTAACACATAAACATACCTCTGATGAGATTATTCCCTAACTGCTGGAAATAGATGTATGAGATAGCATGACTGGGTTAATAGGAATGACCAATTATTATCGACTTCGGAAAATTATAATATTTGTTGAAAGTAGACTTGTCATAAGTCGTTTAGAAAGCTGTTTTTGATTGGTCGTAGAAGCAAAGATAAGGAAGGGGAAACGAACAAATCTCATACCCTTAAAAAACCTATACCCTCCTTCAATGTTAACCGTTATCAATACGAGCCATCTTGAATGTCTCCCTGATTATAATGAAGGGAATGAAAAAACTCTCACAATAGGCTATCAAATCTACGAAGATGACATCAAATATGAATAAAGAAAACCTATATGGGACGTTTTGATGATACACAAATCACAAGTAGATTGCTTTAATTAGATCAATATGGAGGTGAACAGAACTGACTAATAAGTTGATACGTTAAATAAAATTATTTGTTGTGAAAAGTGATTACATTTAAGATACAACTGATGAACACTTAATTTGACGATATTTATTAGATTATTGAACGAACGTGTTAGATGAACAATTACTAAAACAAGGAAGTAAGGGTTTGAACCATTTGTCATGTAAATAAAACTATTAGATGCATTAATTCGGAAACTCTTTAATTAATGGGCGAGACTATAATTTATGGACGAATCAATCAGATTTACGATAACAGGTCTTAGATTTTGGCGCGAAACTCATCCACCCATTTGGTTAAATAGTCTTGGCATTACAGCTGATGTCAGTTCGTGATGAAAATCCTAAATCTAATTCTTAACTCTAACCATCAACCGTAAATCATAATCCCTATTCTTCAAACTGCTTTATAACCCTTACTTAGTCCTAGTAAGTAGGTAGACACTCTCAAGGTCACTTTAGTGTCGCTCAAAGGTCGTCCATAAACTTTAGTCTCACCAATTAATGATTAAGATGAATTGACGTTTGAAAATTAGTGTTAAATTTTGCGATGAATAACCATATGCATCAGAGGTGACATCCATGACTAAAATAAATAATACATACATCATTCAGTAAAAAACAGCATCAAGTGAGAGAAATTAGTTTGGAATACTACTGTTTTCGGTCTTGTCGAAATATATAAATTTACAGTCAGGTAAACTAGCAATTAGACTATACAACATATTTAAAATATAAAGTACTGTGGAGGTTGGCTGCTCAATTATGATAACACATATTTAAACAAGTGTTGCGAAACACAGCAGAATTAGGTTCGAGGTTGGTAGCAATACATATCATATAATGTAATTTGTAGTAGAGCAAACAGACAATATATATAAGCCTCTGACCATTAGTAAACTTGAAGAGGCAAAAGCCAACTAGAAGTGAAGATCAGAAAAGATCTTATACGTTAACTCGAAGTATTTATGAATGGCTATTTAGTTTTAGAAGTTAGTTAGAATCTGACACCTGCGCATAGTCCCATCTGACTGATCCCAATCTAAGGGAGAGCAAAGATATTCTCTCGCGGTAACCAGAACAACCAACTTGAATAAAGTAGTGTCTGAAATTACCAAAATCTCAAATAAAGTTCCTAAACAGCAAACCCGGGAAAATAAAACTGGTTTCAAAAATAGAAGAGCAGATACACATCAATTGCTTATGTTATACTGTACTCTGAAACAGAGGGATGCTTAACAACGCCTGGAAATTCTTTTGACAGTGCTTTTTAGTGAAAGGCGTATCACAGAAATACATAAACCTTATGAAGGCTGTTTACTTGAACATCATTATTCGAGTCGAAGCTTATGGCCTCAAACAGTCAATTTAAAGAAAATATCTCAAGTCTACACATGATTACACTTTATTGGTTGATGGAACAATGTGCCATGTACACAACAGAACCCATGAAAGTGTAGGTGGATAAGAAATAATAAGCTTGATTTTTGAGAGTATCAATACATATAACATTATATAACATAGATAAATATTAAAGAGATAACCAAGTAGTTAATACAAGGAAGGAAAGACTAGAACACAATGTAGTCATTATTATCATATTCGTATAAAAATATAATCATCATTTTCTAAATTATAAAATCCTATTTCACGTGTATCTGCATCCAACGGTATTTCAGTGTTAACAATACCACGATGCCTTCCACTTTGTGCATATAATTCAAACGGTGTTTTTGGTGATAAACAAAACAATCGTCTAATCATCATACGTAAATGGTTAATAGTCATTTGACTAGGTATTTGTTTCTGAACTCGATCGTTTTTAACTATTGGCGATGATGATCGACTGCTAGACTTGTTTGTTGCGCCATTGTTCTTGTTATGTTGTAATATAAAGATAAGAGATAGAAGACCAGCTTTAATTGAGCGGTTCACTGGCTAAAAATTAGATAAATAGATATGTAAACAACAAAGATAACTGAGATTTGACAAAAAATAAAGCGATCAAATCTTATTGCTCATTTATGACCTTAATATTGCTCTCAGATGTTGATATCTATAACCAGACCAACAATAAGATTCAGGTAGATACACTTGGTTGGTTCATACTTTTTCATGAGTGATCTCTGTCATTGAAAGTGTTTCAGCTCAGTTATTTGACACTTAGTTCAGATCAATAGAGAAATAAGGACACGTTATAATAAATTACAATTATATTGTGTTTATTATGTGCAATAATGCAGGAATATTGGTAGTTTTCTCTACTAAACTAACCTGGAAAATACTTATGTAGCAATAAAAAAAAACTTTAATCAGGAGATCATGATAAAAATAGATTAATTCAGACTGTCCGATCGCTGATAACAATAGAAACTAGAGAGAGGTACAGAAACATTAATGTATGTATGAATGTCAAGGTTGGACTAGATAGTTTCAAATAAATTGAGTATTGGGTAGAGAATTAACGACAAATTTTTTGCTGTTGTGACCCAATGAGTAGGAAAATTGGATTTCCGATGGTTCGTGACAATGTGAGCCGCTTTTTCAGAGTAAACGAATGAAACTAACACAAGTTTAAATAGTACAGAGGAAACAATGCAGAATATTTTTAGTGCCAATGATACTATCCTATTAATCAAACCAAAGTAGGTGAAACAGTCATTCAGTCAGTTACAATGTAGGATCAGGCATGCATGTTCATCAGTCCAAGTTGCCAGGGCGTATACTAAGGTTTATTGAAGCCTTAGCCATACGAAAATTCAAACCCCCTTTGTGTATTCAAAAACAGTTTGTTCTTACCTTAAACCTACCCTGGTAATATTGACTTATTATCCAGAGTGATTAGGTTTTGAATTGTGTTCAGATTATTATTAATATTATTATTATTATTACTCTTATTATTATCCTTATATCCTCTTACCCCATTTGCAGTCTAGTTGACCTTTTATTTTTATATATAAATGCTCTTAACAAGTATATGTGTGATCAGATTGTTCGGAATGTATTGCGCTAATATATCACATAGTTTTGATAATCTCCGTCTTCTTATTACATTATCAACTGATTAAGTTTCACTACTTCATTAATTGATTTGCCATCCTTACCTAGTACCCATCTCCTAACAACTGAGTTACTTACTCGGTGGTCCCAGGCGATACGAGCAATGTTTCGAAGACATCTAAGGTCGAATACTAGTAGCCTACGAATATCCTCTACTCTTACCGGCCATGTTTCACTACCATAAAGTAGGACAGAACGAACTGCTGAGCAGTAAACACGTCCTTTGGTTGGTGGACGGATATCTCGCCTACGCCACAAATGACGCGTGTTGGCAAAAGTTAGTCGAGCCTTCTGTATCCGTGATGAGATTTCGTCAGACCAGACCACAAGGGCTGATGAGACTTTCAAGATACGTGAGGCGGTCGACACGCTCAACTACTTCACTCCCTATCACTAGTTTGGGTGTCGACGCAACCCAATCCTGAAGCAACATTTTGCATTTCGAGGGAGAGAATCGCATCCCGAACATGCCTGCAGTGTTGCTTAGAGTGGTCAGCAGACTCTGCATTTTGTCAGCGTCCTCACTGAATAGAACTATGTCATCGGCATATTCTGAGTCAATAAGTGAATTTCCCGGTAGAAGTTCAAGCCCTGGAAAGTCAGATGTGGAAAGAGTTATCTCTAAAAGCACGTCAATGATAAAGTTAAACAAGAATGCAGAGAGTGGACAGCCCTGACGAACACCACTTGAGGCAATTAGTTCTGATGACAGTTCGCCATAAGCTCTCACTCGGCCAGTTGTGTCCAAGTTGGCACACCTCATTAGCACAATAACGTGAACAACAAATTCATAGAAATGATTAATTCAATGGTAATAATAATAATAATAATAATAATAATAATAATAGAGATTGTGTATGAGGAATACAGTACAAGAAGAAAGAATTAGTTCGTGGAAAGAAAGGTATAAAGTGATTTTAATCTCACTGTTTAAAGGAAGACAAAGAGTGTATACACCGACGCCATTGTAACCGATTCTGAGCCATGTCACTCAGAGTCTCCAACCATTGGTTGTGATAGTCACGCGGGCACCATCCAAGTAGTCTGCATCTACCATCATGACTCAGACTAGAATTTAGTGACTTTATGGACTGGTGTCACGTTTCCATTTGGCCGCCCCCAACTAGTAGCTTACGAGTATCTACTACTCTTAATGGCCACGTTTCGCAGCCGTGATGTAGAATAGAACGAACTGCCGCGTAGTATATTCGCCCCTTAATTGATAGACGGGTATCCCGCCTACGCCATAGGTGACGTAAGTAGGCAAAAGCCAAACGAGCTTTTCGAATGAGTACTGAGATTTCGTCAGACACCAACCCAACATGGTCGATCAGACTTCCAAGGTAAGTGAAGTTGTCAACGCGTTCGATTACTTCACTACCTATCCTTAGTTTAGTTGTTGACGCAGACCAGTCCTGAAACAATAATCTACATTTAGAGGAGGGGGGAAGAAACGCATTCCAAACATTCTGGCATTCTTTCTCAGTACTACCAAAAGACGCCGAGTTTCGTTAAAGTCTTCAGCAAGTAGGACTATATCATCTGCGTATTTTAAGTCGACAAGTGGACCACCTGGTAGGAGATCAATGCCCGAAAATCCAGTCGATGAGAGCGGTATTTCCATCAGTATGTCTATAGTGAAGTTAAACAAAAATGGAGAAAGTGGACAGCCTTGACGGACACCATTTGAGGTTTCAAAATCAGATGACAGTTCTGTTTGTTCATTTTATTTATTTGAACACATAAATATTGGTACAAGAGGGCACCAAATATATATGCGCCACACAAAACAATGAGAATTCGAAAAAATAAAGAGGGTAGGGAGCGTTAAAAAAGAACAATAACGAACAGATTAATGTAAGGTGAGATTAGGCAACCCTGCCTAGCACCACTGCTTGAATGGAACAATGGAGAGAGGTGGTTGTATGCCCTCACTCTGCCTGAGGTGTTTATATTTAGGGCTTTTAGGATGTTAATAAACTTCTCAGGCACACCCTTCTTCAACAGACAATACCAGAGAACAGTCCTATCCAACGAATCGAAGGCAGCCCTGATGTCAAGAAACACTACGATTGTTGGCCTTTGATAAGTATGACGGTGTCCTAACGTTTGGTGGAGGGTGAAGTTATGGTCAATACATTCTCGACCGGAACGAAAACCAGCTTGTTCCTTGCGAGTCAATCTTTCTCGGGTTTTTAACAACCTACGAAGTATGACGGAAGCTAATAGCTTGGACGCAATCGGAAGTACTCTTATCACCCGATAATTGTTACAGGAACGACGTGAACCCTTTTTACAGATAGGGACAACTATCGACTCATTCCACGACGTTGGTACACTCTATCTCCCAGATCTTTGTACACAACGTCGTCAGTTCCTTAGCCAGAAATTCATCACCATTTTTAAAAAGAGCCGGAGGTAGGTCATCTAGGCCCGGTGATTTGTAGCGCTTCAAGAGTTGGAGTTCCTTGCGGACTTCCGCCTCGTTTGGTGGATCAGTCGTCACCGGCCATGGAGGGCAGGACAGTCTGACCGATGTTGCCGGAGCAGCAGGCCAGTTGAACTGCTCATTAGCACGTTCCGACAACCAGGCTTCTCTGTCCTTACGCAAGCTATGCCCGATTTTATTACGTAAAACTCTTTGTTTGTGGTCAAACTCACGGTCACCCGGAGTAGACCGACGGGCTTCAAGTTGTAAGGAAACAGAAGCAACCCAGTGCTTATAAGCGGGACGTTTCGCGAAGCAGATGACAGTTCGCCACACGCTCTCACTCGATTAGTAGTGTTCGAGTAAAAAGCCTTCACAAGGTTTATGTACTCCTGACGTACGCCTATCAACGACAGACACTGCCATAGAACCTACTGGTATACCGAGTAAAATGTTGCTTTCAAGTTAATAAAGACCACCATTGTCGGACGCCGATAACCAAGTCTGTGTTCTAGAACCTGACGAATCGTGAATATGTGGTTGATGCAGCCACGACCACATCTCAAGCCAGCCTGATTTTCTCGTGTTTGCATTTCACGAGTCTTAGTTAGGCGTCCGATAATTATTGAGGCCAGCATTTTAGAAGCTATGTTGGTGAAACTAATTCCTCTATGGTTGTCACAGGATGATTTTGATCCTTTATTATATATTAGGACGATCAGCGATTGTAACCCTATGGTTTAAACCACTAATAGATGTCACTGCTGTTTGTATATCTTTCCAAGCAACATCTGCATCAGCCTCATTTTTAGAACTACCGAAGTGTGACCTCAGTTGTCCCTGGAATATACTTTCGGCTTTCAGTAAGTGAAGCGGGGTTCAAGTACCCATTGAGTGGAAAAAATATCTAAAATATTTGGGAGGAACTTTAAAAAAATATAGTCGCTAAAATATTTTAATAGAAAACGTCTTGTGATGAAATCATCAACAAGTTATGTCAGTAGATAAGGAGTGTGATGTGGCTTGAAGTGAAAACTGATTATGCGCTTAGTCAAACGGAAACTTCTGAAACCAATGTTGTAATCAAATAACTAAACAGTGTTAGATATTTAGTGTATATTTAAGCAAAGGATTTACAATTCTCACACAAAAACCTTAGTTTGGGAAGTGAAGAACTTTTAAATTTAAACACAACGAAAGTAATTCATCATTGAGTTATTTCAAACAGCTGAATTATTATTTAAAAATAAAAGTTGCATATGTCGTTGAATTTACATTCTTATTCTAAGCGAAATAAAATATTTTCTTGCAACCTAATTTAGTATTAAATAGAATTTCGATACTATCATAAACAGCTCAGAACAATTAAACGCTTTGGTTGTTTATGGAATCTTCTAAACTATCCTATATTTCATTGATCTCCCCTTATTTTAGACGACAATGATCTTTGAACTAGTTAGCCTAGTTCATCTTCCTTATTTTTGTGTGGTCAACTTAGTTATTTTGTCACATAGATAAAAATATCTGGGAACAAGCCAAAAATAATAAAATCCTACCTTGGTTTCTCCAATTTCAGGGGCTCCATGTTTATCACAAAGTCTGGGAAAAACTGGATGCAGTTTGTAGAATTCCTCTAAAAGTTTAACACCGTTATTCTGCTTATTATTTTGATCGCTTTTACAACAGTTTAGCCAGCTAGCTCCATAACGTTTTAAGTAGTCCAATTCAGATCCGCGGCGCTCTTCAGGAGTAATCTCAACACGGTCTAACATTTTAAGATTTGGCAAACGAGCAATAACTTCCTGACGAGCGGTTTCTATACTAAAACAGAAAGAACATATAAAAAAGTATTTTGAGAACAAAACCCATTTATTACCGGTTGAAATACTAATACTACAAAAGTAAACGTGAGGTGAACAAGTGTGAAATCACATTTCTTATTATAAAGCTATGAACCCATGAAACTTTACAGCCTTACAATAGACAAGTGAAACTAGACGAATACAAACAAACAGTAATGAACTTTATACAGAATTGATGGGTGTGACTGATTTTTGACGGTTTGATGGATGATTATGTAAATTGTCTGTAAAATAAAAAAGAGCGAGGATATATGGAGATAGAGAACAAATAAAAGCCAGCTGTTACGTTCGCAGATATCGCCTCTAAATACGATTCGTTGCATAGAATTGTATTCTGGAATGCTTATCAGCAGAGGATTGAGTTGAAGCAAACAGGAATGTAAAAAAAGTGCAATTGTAGTAACAACAGAATTGAAAGGATCATGAAGCATATAAAGGACAAGTGAATGATGTGCAAATAATGTATATAATGTATGGTTTCCATAATTTACCAAGACACTGCAATTTTTCATTAAACAAATCGGTCATCCCAATCAGGTCTTCGTTCACTACACTACCAATTCAGCTCTATGCTTGTGAAATTTAATTTCGAAGACATGAATATTTTAAACCACGATTAACTTCATCTCAGAGAAATTGCTCACGTTTGCCCACAACAGTGGGTAGGCGATTCTTAGAAGTAATATTTTGCTGGTGACGAGCGTCTAGGTGAAGTAAGAAATATCATGTGACTTTGTAACGAGTGTCACTTCCAAACACAGGTCAATATAGAAGCCGATGGTGATCCAGCTATAGTTATCTTCCCTGTTCTTTGAAAAACAGAAAAATATTTATTAGCGAGAGTGAGATCTATTTAGGTTTGTTTTTAATTGAATTCGCTTTTTCTTATACTTACTTTCAAGAGAAATTGTCAGACCAATTTGTGTGATGGACTTCTTTACACCTCACTGAACCAAGTATTTTGTAAATAATAGTTACTAAGTGATTGAACAATATGGATATTTGATACAACTAGAAGCTATTAAGTTTTCATTTTACGGAGTAACTCGAGACCTAAATAATTATGGATTCGGGCAAATTCCAAATATGGTAGCTTTCTAAATAGAACAGGATTTCACATTATAATTCCCATGAAGATCATTAAGCGATTTCAACTAGTGAAACATGTAAAGGAATATTTATTTTACAATGAAGTACTGTAAACAACTCAATGGTGAACAAGCTGTAATAACCATTAAGTTGTTTTGGAAAAGGTGTATGATTATTTATTAATGCGTATATACTTTGTTAAATAACCACAATCTCGTCTGAACAATTAAAACTAGAGTTTATGGAATTTATGAACGACAGTATTTAGAACTGTTAAACGTATGGAAATATATTTAATTCTTCCGTATTAGACGGTAACTGTATGCTGAAGTTTCATAAGAATATGGACAACTCATACAGTACCTGGTCATCCATTAAAAATTGTAGTCGAAACGTAACTGGGCGATAAACCGTAAAATTAATTACAGTTCTGGTAGTATATTTTTAACTATGTATGAGCAAGGTTTTCAATCCTAACCTATTTGTCTGAAAATATGACAAAAGATAATTCAGCTTAGATTCAACCACAGCAGTTTTTTATTCAATGCTAAAATGTTAAGTATGTAAGTAAAAACAAACCTGATAGTTTTCTAATTGCAATAGAACAGATTTGAATAGATTAGCTTACTTGACAGAGTTTTCGAAAACTGGGCATCCTGATACCATCAAATGATCCAATTTGGACAAATGCAGTAATTGATTAACGAAATTCCAGTTTGTGAATAAGTTGTTTTTTAACCCAAGAGTGCTAAGGTTTCGAAACAGATGTGAACTATCTTTATCGTGTACATTTATTTGGCAGATGTGCTCAGAATGATCATTTAGATTTGGAATGTCTGCTATCTCGTTATAATTTAATAACAGGCTGTTCAAATATTTTGAGGCTCCAATAAGGGCGAATAACTGATGAGCGGACGTTAGATTTATGTGAGTTAAGTCTAATTTAGTCAACTTTTGGAAAACTTCAATAGCATTTTCTTCCCAGTCAATTGGAGGATTGCCCAACTAAAATGTAATCAAACATTTCATAAACATACCATGACTGAATGTTGTTTAGCTTGAAGAAGCACAAAAGAAAGCCGTATAGGTTAATGCTTTAGAGCAACAAAGTGGCGGATCTCAAGAACTTTTTCATCAGGATTTGTGACTACACTTATGGGGTAACAATGTGCTCAATACCGACTTTATTTTATTTTCAACCCCCCAAATGCCTTGGTATGGCCGAGAGTGGGGAGAGTCCGCTCTCCCTCTCGAAATGCTCTCACATGGCCATACGTATATAGCCTCTGCCAGGGAAGTCCTACTCACTGCCTTCTCGTAGCGGGGGTGTTGTTCACGAAAATGAGAGGACGAAAAGCGAATGTCCGGCGCTTTAACCGGACCCCAAACCAATGGTGCACATGGGCTCCAGTATCCTGAAGGAACAAATGGCGTATGAACCAATCGTTGGTCACCGGCTACCATGGGACTGCATCTCCTTACGATGCTCCACTGCCTTGTGGGTCAGACGTTCAGGTCAAAGGCTCGGGGTGTGGCCCCCTAAGAAAACCACTTGCTTCGGTTTGGGCACCCGGGCAGTATCACAGCCCTCACACAAATCAATTGAGATTTGTGTGGCGCATATGTATTTGGTGCCTCCCTGTACCTATACTTATGTGTTAAAATAAATAATAAAAAAGTAGACAGTTTATAGGTGGTTATTTCAGCACGTTACCTAGATGTAGATGTAGGTAATATAAAAACAAACCTGACAATTACTTTTTATGATCATTTGCAGGTTATTAATTTACAACTGCTTCTTAAGACTTAAATTTACATCAAGACATCAAAGTAGTTCAAAGTCTTCTAGTAATGTAGGAATTTCTTTACTATAATTTACACATGCATTAGATTAGGAGATAGTAACGGTCCTTATCAAAATACAGAACTCGGAAGTGAAATATTACCATTTTACTGGAATTTATGTGGTTCATTATTGATATTTTCGCTATTCGAGGTATATTATGGAATGATTTTCTATGTTTCGAAGTCTTATGTCGACGGCCAGGTCAGTGGTTGAAATTACATAAGCAGGTGAACTTTTGAAAATACACTGATAAATAAATTAACATGAAATTATAAGGCTTTGGCAACAATATAGAAATCGATGTGACCATACAAAAATGAAATATTAGGTGAAGCCGAATCTTAGGAATTCCCGAAAGTTGAATGACGATTGACGTAACAAAAAGTCAGGATTTTATTAAAGTAGAAATTAAAACCCTTAAGTCACTCTAGAGGCTATCTTTAAAACAAACTACAGAGACAAAAGTTAAGTTGAATAATCTGTTGAAAGGATTTGATACTTGAAGTTAAATGAACAATATATATTCCAATTAATTACTTGAATAAGTAAAGCATAAGGAAAACATTTACTTACATTATTGTAAGCTAGAGATAAAGACTGTAAGGATGGCATCCAACATAATATTCTCCTAATACTTTTCCAATTTAGGAGTGAGCATTTGACTAAAGTAAGTTGCGACAACTGGGGAAAAGCGTTCGAACACAACCGTTCACTCAGGACAGGGTCCCAGTATGTGTCATATAAAAGTCTAGATTCCAGACACTCATTTTCTTTTTGTTTATTATTCACTTCTTTTGGAGAAACAGGTAAACGAATGCGGTTGTTACTGACATTCAAGGATTTTAACCATGGAATTTGAATACAAATCTAAAAAGATATATAAACACAGTTAACTTTTGTGGAGGAAAGAATGAACAGTGCTAATGAAAATTAAAACACACCTCAGCAATTTCTGTCCACTTTGACAACAAACAATTGCTCATTTCCAGATCGCATAAACTGGATAAAAACTGGTCGAGACAGCCTCCAGATGATGGCCAAAGTGGTGAGTATTCAGGCTGTCGATCAGGGAAAAAGTCACTTTTTCCATATAGTGCACGATATACGGGCACAGAAGACAAACTAACACTTTTTAACCGATTAAGACAACTTTTGGCTGCAGCTGCTCCACATACTTCATCATGAGAAGTTGATTGATGGAAAGTCCCAGGATTAGTGTAAAGTTCGATTCGTAATGTGTCTTTTGGGTTACTGTGAGTACCAAAGTATTCAGCTTCCTCCGCAGTACAATCAAGGTAACTGTTTAGATGACCAAGTTGTGTGCATTCATGAACGAGGATATTATGAGAACTACTTGTAGGCTTTTCCAGTGATCGCAAAGAAGTTTGGATTTCAAGTTGACAAGTTGTGCAGATGGCATATCTATATACGAGAGCTTCCTCTAGACTGGTACCCAATGACACCTTAGAAGGCCTAAAAGCATGATTCGATAAGATAAACGGAGCTTATCAAGATGAAATTAAGACATGAAGTACAACGAAATAAGTTATAAGATGACTGTGTACGGAAAACAAGAAAAAAATAAACATGAACATGCGGTTGTTACTGACATTCAAGGATTTTAACCATGGAATTTGAATACAAATCTAAAAAGATATATAAACACAGTTAACTTTTGTGGAGGAAAGAATGAACAGTGCTAATGAAAAATTAAAACACACCTCAGCAATTTCTGTCCACTTTGACAACAAACAATTGCTCATTTCCAGATCGCATAAACTGGATAAAAACTGGTCGAGACAGCCTCCAGATGATGGCCAAAGTGGTGAGTATTCAGGCTGTCGATCAGGGAAAAAGTCACTTTTTCCATATAGTGCACGATATACGGGCACAGAAGACAAACTAACACTTTTTAACCGATTAAGACAACTTTTGGCTGCAGCTGCTCCACATACTTCATCATGAGAAGTTGATTGATGGAAAGTCCCAGGATTAGTGTAAAGTTCGATTCGTAATGTGTCTTTTGGGTTACTGTGAGTACCAAAGTATTCAGCTTCCTCCGCAGTACAATCAAGGTAACTGTTTAGATGACCAAGTTGTGTGCATTCATGAACGAGGATATTATGAGAACTACTTGTAGGCTTTTCCAGTGATCGCAAAGAAGTTTGGATTTCAAGTTGACAAGTTGTGCAGATGGCATATCTATATACGAGAGCTTCCTCTAGACTGGTACCCAATGACACCTTAGAAGGCCTAAAAGCATGATTCGATAAGATAAACGGAGCTTATCAAGATGAAATTAAGACATGAAGTACAACGAAATAAGTTATAAGATGACTGTGTACGGAAAACAAGAAAAAAATAAACATGAACATGCGGTTGTTACTGACATTCAAGGATTTTAACCATGGAATTTGAATACAAATCTAAAAAGATATATAAACACAGTTAACTTTTGTGGAGGAAAGAATGAACAGTGCTAATGAAAATTAAAACACACCTCAGCAATTTCTGTCCACTTTGACAACAAACAATTGCTCATTTCCAGATCGCATAAACTGGATAAAAACTGGTCGAGACAGCCTCCAGATGATGGCCAAAGTGGTGAGTATTCAGGCTGTCGATCAGGGAAAAAGTCACTTTTTCCATATAGTGCACGATATACGGGCACAGAAGACAAACTAACACTTTTTAACCGATTAAGACAACTTTTGGCTGCAGCTGCTCCACATACTTCATCATGAGAAGTTGATTGATGGAAAGTCCCAGGATTAGTGTAAAGTTCGATTCGTAATGTGTCTTTTGGGTTACTGTGAGTACCAAAGTATTCAGCTTCCTCCGCAGTACAATCAAGGTAACTGTTTAGATGACCAAGTTGTGTGCATTCATGAACGAGGATATTATGAGAACTACTTGTAGGCTTTTCCAGTGATCGCAAAGAAGTTTGGATTTCAAGTTGACAAGTTGTGCAGATGGCATATCTATATACGAGAGCTTCCTCTAGACTGGTACCCAATGACACCTTAGAAGGCCTAAAAGCATGATTCGATAAGATAAACGGAGCTTATCAAGATGAAATTAAGACATGAAGTACAACGAAATAAGTTATAAGATGACTGTGTACGGAAAACAAGAAAAAAATAAACATGAACTGAAGTTACCTTTATGATTTATAAAGAAGCGAAATGCTATGATTTATCTTTACCGTATCAAGGACTACTATATTCTTCAAGCCCCCAAGTGCCCTGGTACGGCCGAGAGTGGGGAGAGTCCGCTCTCCCTCTCGAAATGCTCTCACATGGCCATACGTATATAGCCTCTGCCAGGGAAGTCCTACTCACTGCCTTCTCGTAGCGGGGGTGTTGTTCACGAAAATGAGAGGACGAAAAGCGAATGTCCGGCGCTTTAACCGGACCCCAAACCAATGGTGCACATGGGCTCCAGTATCCTGAAGGAACAAATGGCGTATGAACCAATCGTTGGTCACCGGCTACCATGGGACTGCATCTCCTTACGATGCTCCACTGCCTTGTGGGTCAGACGTTCAGGTCAAAGGCTCGGGGTGTGGCCCCCTAAGAAAACCACTTGCTTCGGTTTGGGCACCCGGGCAGTATCACAGCCCTCACACAAATCAATTGAGATTTGTGTGGCGCATATGTATTTGGTGCCTCCCTGTACCTATACTTATGTGTTAAAATAAAAAATAATCAACAGTTCAAACCGAAAAGTATGATTACATCCCTAGTTTACTAACCAAATACTCAAATACCTAGATTAAGAATCAAAAGGTAAACTATAAAAGTCTGTGGGATAAAAAAAATCTGGGAGGAATTAATAACACAAAGTCGATTATGTAATGCGGATATTATACAATTGTACAAGCAGTCGACATTTAACTTGTAAATTGTATGACTGAAATGTAAAAGTTACTTCAGCTTTGATAATGGAAAAGATGATAATAGAAAGGATTAGGCATCGAACCTATGATGCAAAAACAATAAATTAGTAAGATAAAAAATATTATAAGGAATTCAGAAGCTTATAATTTGGGGGAAAACAACCAATGGGTGTGTCTGCGCCATTACAAACTACTTTGAACCATGCCATTCAAAGTCTCTAACAACTCGTTCAGATACTCACACAAACCCCAACCAGGTACTCTACACCTACTAACATGGCTCAGTTCAATTGTCAATGACTCCATGAACTGACGCCATGTTTTGGTTTGGTCGCCTCCAGCTCTCTTCTAGCCTACTCCTACACCACACAACATCGCCAGTTGAGGCAGACGGTGGTTGGAAATGCATAACACATGTCTCGTCCACCTCAGTTGATGAAAATTTAATACCTCACCAATTGATTGACCGTCATTACTTAGTATCCTATTCCCAACCCAAGCATTGCTTACCCTGTGGTCCCAAAATACACGGGCGGTGCTTTGAAGTTACCTATGATCGAACAATAGCAACCTGAGAACATCGTCTATTTTTAATCGCCACGTTTCATACCACAAAGTTGAATGGAGCAAACTGTTGCACACTATACACGTCCTTTGGTTGATAGATGGATATTTTTATTTTATTTGAACAGATAGAAATACTTAATTCAATGGTAATAATAATAATAATAATAATAATAATAATAATAGAGATTGTGTATGAGGAATACAGTACAAGAAGAAAGAATTAGTTCGTGGAAAGAGGTATAAAGTGATTTTAATCTCACTGTTTAAAGGAAGACAAAGAGTGTATACACCGACGCCATTATAACCGATTCTGAGCCATGTCACTCAGTCTCCAACCATTGGTTGTGATAGTCACGCGGGCACCATCCAAGTAGTCTGCATCTACCATCATGACTCAGACTAGAATTTAGTGACTTTATGGACTGATGCCACGTTTCGGTTTGGCCAGTGACACAAAAGTTAGACATTTAGAACTAGCTTCACTATTCTGTACACTTACACACCTAGACCCATTGGGAGTGCATACATGTATCGTGTGTGATAACATACTAAACAATAAACCGAACCAAAAAGAGACTAGAATCAGTCCGTAGATCATTACAATATCGGATAGTATAGTGTCACAACCAAAGTATCTGACGTAAATTTCTGATCCCACTCGAACTTAAGATTACTTATTAGTCACGACTGGACTCTGTCGTAATTTAGCGCCTTTCATGACAGATCGCTTTGAAGTTACACAGTTTTTTGCTTTCTGACTGCCGCTTAAGGCAATAGTTTTCTTTTTATCTATAAACATTATTACTCACCTCACGAATGAACCGGAAGTAGGTCCTTTAGCCTGAAAATACCGGACGCCACCGTAAGTTCCATCATGTCTGCCGCGCGATTGGTCATCCCAATCAACTCCAAGCCAAGACCCATTCGATCTCGGCAACTCACCGACATAACAGATAGTCCCAAAGTTTTTTTCATGGACTATTCGCCTTCCTATAATCAACTCATTAACCTCAGTTATCTTGCCGCATTCCGTTCCTAAGTATATGTTTTTGATAGGACTGTGATTTTGGGCATCACTGGTAGTGTTCCTATATATTTTTAGAAAAATAAATCATTGCACGTAATGCAAACAACCCACATGGTAACGTACTACTCAAACATGTTCAAATGGTTCATTTTGTGTAGCAAAACAAGTTTCAGTTTGGAAAGAACAGGAGGCTTGATAGCCTGTGTTAGTCCTGGCAATTGTGTTTTCTCAGTTGATCCAACTTTCCTTTGAAAGAATCTACGGATGGAGCTTCAACAACATGTTGAATTAATGAATTCCACTCGTTGATGATTCGGTGAGAAAGTCGATAATCAGCTGACAAGTAATTTGTTCTGGGCTTGTGACCTTTTTTATAGTGCCCTCGTAAATTCTCTGTCTTGGAAGACTAGAAAAATGAGGGCATATCAAGTGAAAATCTATCACTAAGCAATCAGAAAACTGTTATCAAGTCGCTTCTAGTTCTACGATATGACAAAGGGAATAGGTTTACCTTGGCCAGTCGAGCATCATACGGAAGCTTCGCTATTCCGTGCTGTTTCTCAGAGAGGATTCGGTTTACATCGAGGTATTTAAACAGCTCTTTCCGAATAATCTTTTCTAAGATTTTAACAACCACACTAGCTAGGCTAACGGGTCAAGCTTATTTAGCAGATCAAAGACATCGAGTTCTTTAATAGTCACGCTATCCAGTGTATATCTGGGGGGTTTGTATGCGCTGACGGGAAGGGTGCTTCTATGGTATATACATTGCTAAAGTAGTTTGAGAACACTTGAGCCTTACCAAAGTCATCTTCCACTAATTATGCGGCAGTACTGTCTCCCATAGTGCAGGAATATTTCCCCATCTTTTCGTCCTTTGGTTTATGAAGGAATACAAACGTTTAGGACATTCCATGTATTCCTGCACAAATTTTTGTCCGTACAAATTTCTAGACTTACGGAGGGTCGAGGCACAGGTATTCCTGGCTTTTCGATACTGAGATTTTGTCTCATCAGTCCCCAGTAACCTAGATCTATCCCACCTTTTTCTTCTCTTACGGAGAAGGATGCGGATTTCCCTTCTGAATCATGGTGGGGAATTTCTCGGCCCCCTTGGTATAGCCCAAGGAATGTGGGTTGCGGTAACTTTTAAGTATAAATTTCGGAATGCGTCCCAAGCCGTTTCAATTGAGGACTCTGAGTCTATTGTCCAATCTACTAACGATGCTGAGTGCATGATATCTGGTATGTTCGCTTTCAAGACGTTAGGTATGGATTGAGTTGACGCGTGCTGGTGATTTACAGTGATATGGAAGTCAAAAGTTAAAACTGCGGGATCACTTTACCTAGGAATAGCATGTAGTGGAGATTCGCAACGTCATCCTCATAGTGAGTTAATACAAGATCTAGTAAGGATGATTCGGTGTCCGGGTCGTACCTAGTCGCTTCTTTCACATGTTGCAATAGGGCATATGTTATAACCGCATCAACTAGTTCCTGCTCGAAGGAATTATCTGACGATTCAGTCCGCAGATTTCCCCAGTCTACCATAGATGCATTAAAGTCCCCTAGGATTAAACATCGACCGATGTGTACAAAATTCAAGAATTTCTAATTTAAAAATACGAGAAGGGACTTATTCGTTACCTTCTGGAGTTTAAAACTTGTGATTATCGTTTTTTAAACGATTTTTTGCATTTTTTTATCTTCAATTGCCAGTAATAAAGACTGTCGGAAGTGCGACTTTTATTGGAGGTCATCCTCCAGTAACAGTCTGTCTCCCCTTAAAGGTGCCCAATAGAGTGAGCGATGTCGATAAGTAAGCTAGAGCGTTTTAGCCCCTGACCACTACATAAGAAAGATGGAATCACACTCTGATCTTATTAGATCGCCATATTGCAAACATTCTGCGATTTCTTTGGGAGTTTTTAATGTTAAAATAAGCAAGGAGATAACATTCAAATCATTACTAAAGTTGCTGAGAGCCAATAAAAAATCACTTTGCTTTCTACGAATATATACAGGAGTGAGGTTAAAGCGATTCAATTGCTCGTTGTAAAATTGTTTGAGAAGACCCGTCACAAATTAAGCAATCTGTAGTGGTAAATAGATCTCTGAAATATGTAGTTCTGTATGTATTCGGTATTGATGTTGACCTCTTCAGTTTCACTGGATACACTCTAGATGAATGTTCTTGGTCAACTATTCGCATCACATCGCCATTGGTTACGCCGTCCTACTCATCAGATTAAAAACGTCTCGGAGTGTCAACTTCTTTCAAAAATACTTTCGAAACCCTTCATTTCTGGTTTGACTGACTGTAGCATCTATGGTAGAAAAAGCGTTACACACGTGTGAATCATAAGATCTAAACCTATAAGATTTTAATGAAGTTACCGCAATACTTGAAAACCTGTCGCACATATTGATTTAGAACTCAGTATTTACTCATATGTCTTCCTATTCCTGGGATTATGGAAATGGTGTTTCTTTGATGATATACTGATGGTTAGTGCAATATATAATACAGATTACTTACTTACGCCTGTTACTCCCGATGGAGCATAGATTGCCGACCAGCATTTTCCAAGAGATTAGCACATACTTTTCAGATTTAATCTCGGAATATCAACTTGGGAACTATCTAACTCATTTGTTCAAATAAACTTTAAAATTGATATAATCAGCCCCACTATTAAGACTGATATCACCTGAAATCAGGAGTGCCAATGACCTAAACAGTCTCCGTAATACACTGACGTAAAGAATAAATAGTTGAAAATATAAGATAGTGACTTGTCGCACAGGAAGATTAAGTGATTTTCGTCATTTCAGCCATATGGTATTCCATATATTTTCTGGCATTTTGTCATTATTATTCACGAATAGCTTGTTATTGTGATGCCATTTAGCATACTTTATACATAGTAATCATCTGTAAAATATATACTGAATATTTCGTTAACTTTATATTTACATCGTTGTTGCCACATGTTAAATGTGCATGTGGGACACGGGATTGAGTACGCATTCACTAAAGACCGCAAAAGTATACATCGACAGAATTCTTGAGCACTTTGGAATTATGAACACAACTGAGTATGAACATTTCCCTTTCAGCTATTGGTGTTAGGTAAAATACTTGCCATTAATAATACAGACCTAATAATTCCAAATTAGGGAACTTTTAGATCACCAACGTGGATGATCTGCCGAATACTTTGGGTCTACTGGAGTTAGACCGGAATGGCGTGACGAACCAGCTAAACTGAAGTTCAGCACTTAACGCGGATTAACCTTTTGTCATATCAAAGTATCATGTCCGCTTTGAAGAACGTATAACACAAAGGGCGTTATTACAGAAATATAATAGTAAGATTAAGTACAAATAATACATTGTGGCTACCACCACCTAATGGGCCAGTCCATGGTGTGCGGTTAATTGACACGCGCTTGTTGTCCTTGAACTAACGACGATAATTGAACTGTTCGATATTCAGCGATCCGACCACTGAGTCATGTGGTTAGGGCTCACTGACATTTCATTGGCCCCACAAACGATTTACTGGCCTACAATTCTGATTAAAATGCTAAATAGATCACTTATAAAGAGCATGAAGGACTATAATCTGAACCATTTCAAAGATTACGAGCCTAAATTAAAACGGTCAGCACCTTACATTAAACTACTGTTAATTAGTAAGTTATTTGATCATGATTTATGGGGAAAAACATTGTAAATATAATATATCGACGCTTTCCATATATACCTGTACACATCGTTACCTATATATTCTCAGAACATCATTCCAAGACAATCAGATTTGTTCTTCTACCTTGTCATATATATTTCCAATCTGTTATCAACGTTTGATTTATAGTTTAAAAGTTGTTTAACTTGGTAAATACAGAGTAAGCACAGCATTTATAAAAGTGGGGCCTGACTAGGCTAACATCTTGAGTGGATAATTTTTTTCCTGTATACATCGCTAAAACTTCGTTTTTATTCATCTATTTTTCAAAAACCAAAGAGATCAATCTTCAGAATTTGTTTTCTCATGTTCACACCTGGTACACCATGTGGATTTTTGCTTTTCTGTTAGTTTTGTAGTGCATGTATTTGACTTTGACCAACAATCGCACGACTAAAATCAATAATTTCTCAACTTCCATAACGTGTACAAATGATAGGACTGGACAGTCATGTAAATTTTAAAAACTCATTTAACAAGGAGTGTAACGACCGAACTGCCAGTATTCTGTTTGAACTCAGGACTGATGAACCAAAACGTATTCGAATAGTCCAGACTACGCTCTTCTGTATAGACCACTAAGCGTTTTTGAGACACTCGTATTAAACTATATCAAAACAAATTCTGTGCTCAATTTAAACGGTTCTAATCTAGAAAATAGAACAAATTATATCAAAAATACAAAACACCCCAAACGGTACAGCCTGTGCCATACGGTCAAAAGTTTGTCTAACGCAAAGTAGCGCGCTAAACAATAAAAGAAACAGTTAATACCAAAGGGTTCGATACCCGAGAATCAATAGAAATATTCCCAACAAAATGGGATCAAATATCTATCTGCAGGGATTCTAGCAATCCTCCCAAGCAGACAGTCAAAAGGTTAATAGCCACGCACTAAATCACTCCGTGACATTGAGCTTAGTCAAACACGACCTTACTGTCAATAGTCCGGCAACATGCAGTAGAAAATTAGGTAACAGAAGGTAAATTTTTGATCAAAATCACGTAATAAAAGCCCAGACGAGGAAGGCTGAAGAACAAAAGATGTGGTTAAACGTGATCTGAACAAGGGTTAAAATACACGACAGGGAGAGACAAATAAATGACAGTACTGTCCAACAAAAAGGCTACGGAGGGATTTTCATTGTTCTCTTTCCGTTACAAGTAGTTAAGCTACTCTAGGTTATCTTAAAGTGCAAGTTTTGTTGTCGAGTCAACTCTTAAAGTACTATTTACCAGCTCCGGACTGGATTCTGATTATTTGTTAACAGTTCCCATAATCATACTATTCATTGTTTTTGTGTTGCTAATAATGATGAAAATCATACTGTCAGGACGCAGGTTTCAAGTAAACCATGATATGAAGTCGGTTACACTAGCATTAAACTGATGAATACCTGGTCAGCTTCTTTGACTAATTACAGCTCTATATGTCATATACCATCAAGTAGGAGTCCAGGAAACAGCCTAAGTACAAGTGAAATCCACCTGGCTCACTATAATTTCTTGAAGGTATTATAGCTTCAAGTGGAGTGACAGAACAATTACTTACAACGTGGGAGCTAAAACTCGACTCACACGTCCTTGTCATGCCTCTTGGGTAGTGTGACTCAAGCCCATAAACTAACGTAGAACAAATAATCGAATGCAGGTATCACATAGCAGTGATTACAGAAAATAGGATGGTCATCGAAACCATCGAGTTAGACAAAAATGCTACCTTCTATAACTCCAATCCTGACACGAACGACTACGGGAACACCGATATCGGTTTCGTCACTAATAACCAACCAGTAGTTACTGCCACCAAAAAGTGCATAGTATAATCACCAACCAGACTATTAACGTTATCGGTTGCTATCCCCCAACTGTATTCTAGTGAAGATATCAGTAAAAAAAAATTCCATCTTAATCATAATATCGTAATTAAGAAACTTAAAATAAACGAACTTCCAATACTTGTATTAAGCGACATCAACTGTAGCCAGGACCTTCATATTAACTGCCCTAATATCGTAGAGAAAGCTATTCAACTTGAACCGGAGACATCAACAAATAGCATACGGCTAATAAACTTATGCGAAAAATTAAGTCTGCGAGTAATGAATACGTTTATTACTAAACCAGCACACAAGATTCCCACCTGAGTTTACCCTAAAAATCAAAATATATAATACACTCGATATTGTTTTGCGTGAATCTCCCCATTGATGTTTAGGACTGAAATTGATCAGTCACTTATGGAGTTTGGAGCGAACGGTACTGGGTTCGAGTCCCAAAGTGAACATCAACTCTGAGATGCAGGTACATCCAGCTGACGAGTCTCAAACAGGACGCGCGTCCTGAGTTCCACTGCCAGCCACTATTTATCTTTGCCTATAAATATACGATAGATCTGGTATTAATAGAAAATAACCATAAGTTAAGGGTTTGTGACATACACAACAGTCGTTCTATGGAGGTTAACTCCGATCACTATTTGGTCACAACCATACTTAATTTGAAGTACTTAAATAATCATAGGACTCGTATTATTAATAAGAAACCCAAACGAAGACAACGTGGAGCAATACACGCCATGACTGCCCAGTGATACTGAATAATTTACTTCAAAATGAATATACTCTAAGTCAGGTAGAAAGTGCCACAATTAAAGAAATGAACAGACATTATAGAAACAACCACCAAAACAAAACTGCTACCAAAGCCCTTCATAGCTGCCCCCTAAGTGACTGTAATAAGACATATAAGACTTTGGACTGGCTTGTCACATACAAAACAACCCACTTGAAACTGAAACCAGAGTAAATAAAAATAACTCCCTAAACAAATATCCGCATCCTGGCTGTATTAAGAACCTACCAACTAAGAAAGGTATAATCAATCACTACTATGTAGTACATAGGTGGCCAGCAATGACCGGACAGGAAGTAAAATCTATCTATTCTAGTTGGAGCGTAAATCCCCTGCTTCGTTTGAGCACCCGGGCAGTATCACAGCCCTCGCACAAATTAAATGAGATTTGTGTGGCGCATATGTATTTGGTACCTCCTTGTGCCAATATCTATGTGTTCAAATAAATAAATAGGAGCGTAAACCCACAACTAGTGATTCGTGAAGTAAGACTAATCAGATAAAGTAAAGACCCAGTAGTTCTTAAGACAAAATAACACAGTCTTCCTGTAGGACATTTTTAACCTACTATCCAAATTAATTAGCAAACATCAAACTTGACTTCTGAGTTCCTACCTGCAAAACTTACACCGAGAATGTCGAAGAGTAATGTTGCTGACCTTCAATAACATTAAAAACAAAGTCACGCTTTATGCCTCGACAACACGAAAAAGTAATTTTAGGCCTGTGAACTCGTGATTATTATTTACGAAGTGAAGTGTTCCGATCGTAAAATAATGAAAATGACTAATGTTCATATAAAGTCAGCGTCATTTACAAAATAAAAACGAGTTTAATTCAAATCAGAAATTCATAAGACTTAGGATATGAACAGAAATGAAGTCCAATGTTTTATTAAAGCGAGGATGTTAAATGAATTAAAAAACTTTTGGATACTCAGGATGCTTCTTCAGGAATTCGGTTAGTTTTCTGGGATAGTCCGTCATTACACCTGAAGCTCCAAGTTCAAAAGCTTTCTGCATATCCTCTTCATTGTTACACACCCAGAAGAATACCTTGTAGAGGAAATATCAATCAGAAAATTAATAGACAGAACTTTTCAACAAGTAATACGGAATATACGGGTGTTTTAAATATATCATAAGTATGATGAGTAACAAATAGTTTTTAAGTCATTTTTTTTCCAGTAAAAAAATACAGCCAAAAAAGTAGTTTTAAAAAGTGTAATTTCGAGAAGTAAACAAACGAATTCGATACTGCTCAAACATCCGCTTACTATTGAAAACGTTACAGGAAAAACGGGAAAAAAGGCTTAGTCAAGCTTCATTTTACTTTGTAATGTGTTAATGGCTAATTAATTTGAATGTGAAACGATCACTCTAAGTGTTGCACTTTCAAGATTATATAACTGACATGAAAACAACTAGACAGTTGATAAAATTGTTGACAAGACTAGATTGTCCAGGTGATATTTTAGTTATCTGAATATTGAAAAGAAATAAGTCAAATTATTATCCTATGAGTATAAATTTAAACGATAAGATAATCTTATAAGTTCGAACGAAAAAACTAAATCCCAGTTAAGAAACAAGCCTATAACGATTTTCAACTGATGAAATATAATGGCGTGGAAATTGGAGATTAAACACATTTCTAATGACATCTTACACGGGTGCTTTGGAGGTTGTTTTTTTCGAAAATTTCAAATAATAATGATTCCAGAAATATATCGAGAATTAGTAGTAATTTCATTTACCAATCTAGACTCGTAAAGACAATATGCACATACTGTGTTCGCAAATTACGTAGTACATAGAATTTATACACAACTTATTCTCGTTCTTAATGAAATTCTTCATGTGGATTCACCTGAATTGTGGTGTGTGCACCTTATATCGACATAAGAAGTATATAACACTAGGAGTCAGTCAGTCAGCTACAACGTAGGACCAGGCATGTACGTGCATCAGTCCAAGTTGTCACACCTCATTAGCACAATAACGTGAACAACAAATTCATAGAAATGATTAATTCAATGGTAATAATAATAATAATAATAATAGAGATTGTGTATGAGGAATACAGTACAAGAAGAAAGAATTAGTTCGTGGAAAGAAAGGTATAAAGTGATTTTAATCTCACTGTTTAAAGGAAGACAAAGAGTGTATACACCGACGCCATTGTAACCGATTCTGAGCCATGTCACTCAGAGTCTCCAACCATTGGTTGTGATAGTCACGCGGGCACCATCCAAGTAGTCTGCATCTACCATCATGACTCAGACTAGAATTTAGTGACTTTATGGACTGGTGTCACGTTTCCATTTGGCCGCCCCCAACTAGTAGCTTACGAGTATCTACTACTCTTAATGGCCACGTTTCGCAGCCGTGATGTAGAATAGAACGAACTGCCGCGTAGTATATTCGCCCCTTAATTGATAGACGGGTATCCCGCCTACGCCATAGGTGACGCAAGTAGGCAAAAGCCAAACGAGCTTTAAAATATCAAATAAAAATGATAAAGTCTTATGATGATTGCAAAATAAACGACTGGCAAAAGTGAACAGAGGTCGATCGAAGTTATAAAATTATAAAAAGGTTACAAATTAACATTACATACCACATAACTCTAATATATTGGTGCCAAATAGTGCTTAATCCACATGATATTCACTATAGTAAATGTATTTGGTGGGTATTAAAAATATACATGGTGAACGTCTGATTCAACAAATTTACCATAGGTATTAGGTAAACACATAATCTAACTCCACTGTAAAAAACAACTTAAAAGGAATATGTTTACGAATGTATATTTAAAAAAAGTCTTATTCTTTATTTGGTAATCGTGGCTCCGATGCCTAATCTTTTATATTATCACTAATATTGTTACTACCTCTCACTTACTTACGCCAGTTACCCCACGATTGTCTAACCAACCTTATTCTGGGCTCTTCTTTTCGGTTGTTTCTAAGTGCTATTTGTTACTTTAATGTCTGCCTCCGATTCCCGACGCAATGTGTTCCTTGGTCTACCTCTTCTCCTTTCGCTTTGCGGATTTCAAGTTAGGACACTATGTTGACTTTCGCAGTGTCCTATCCACTACCATCATCTTTTCCTCTTCATCTAGAAGATGGTTTGTTCTCTCCCACAGTAGGCTGTTGCTGATGGTATCCGAGCAACGGATATTGAGTATCTTGCGCAGATAATTCTTTTTATATACTTGTACTTTTTCGATGATGGCCGTAGTATTTCTCCAAGTTTCAGCTCCGTACAATAGAACCGTCTTGACATTCGTATTGAAGATTCTGATCTTGGTGTTGGCTCTTCAATCGTAGGAATTCTGCCCTTACTTTGCCAATCCTTGACTTTGTGTTTCATCAGATCCTCCTTGTCCATGAATGATACTGCCCAGGTACGTGAAACTTTCCATCACTTCCAGAGCTTCTTCATGAAGCGTGATTGCGTTGTTGTTCTTTGTGTTAAATTTGAGGATATTACTTTTTCCCTCGTGTATTTTTAAAGTCTACTGATGCATTTGTTCGTGTGTATGGGATAGAAGGGTCAAGTTATCTGTGAAGTCCAAATCGTCTAGCTTTATCCAACCTGTCCATTGTATTCCATGCTTTCCGTAAGGTGTGGAGGTGGTCTTTATAATCCAACCAACTACCAGAAGAGAAAGGAGGAGAGTAGAAAGCCTTGTCTGACTCCGGTCCTCACTTGGAATGCGTCCGTCAGCTGTCCTCCATGCACGACTTTGCAATGTAGTCCGTCGTATGAATTCCGGATGATGTTGACGGTTAGTTCAGGTACACCATAGTGTCGAAGAAGTTTCCACAAGGTCTTCCTATCCACACTGTCAATGAAGTTGATGTATAGTGGCGAGTTCCATTCAATTGATTGTTTAACGAAGACCGAGCATAAAAAAATAGTAAATACGTTTACCGGAAAATGATTTTTAATCATATTAATCAAATGTTCGCGTAATCACAGATTTTTATTCAATGTAAGCATACTTAAACACAACACCATTGAACAAGGAATTTGTTTAGTTGAGTTGATGCGTCCTAATTTTATATCCTGTCATTTAAATTGAAATATTTGTATGGAAATTATTTTTACAATAATAAGAGTTTTCAAGAATAAGTCGACAAAACGAAACATATTTATACACGACAGAGTCACGACAATTAATGTTGCAAAGACTTAAATAACCAAATAATTTACTATTATACTTAATATCAGCACTACCTACTTGGTGATTGCAATTTAACTTAGGAAATAATCAGGAAGCATTAACTGTTAGGTTGAAATACATGTTCCCCATTTGAATCATTGTTTAACATTCATATAATGGGAGGTCAGATACTAGAGAAATATTTCAGTTTCTCGTACGAATTCAGAAACTTCATCTGAGCTACAGATAACATAAGATGCTATGAAGAGTTCTAATATTTAACTAACAACAATGTTACTTAAATTGTTGTAGTTTCTTACATTATTTCATTTGAATTCATATATTCAGGTAGTAGGTCGTCGTTTCATAGACTAAAGAAAATAATAACAAGCTTTTAGGGCTTAAGATACAGAAGTGATATATGAGACGTTGATTCTAATAATTGTAGATGTAGAAAATATCTGACTTATTAATCTATATGGTGCTAATATTCATATTAATAAGATGTGGTTAGAAACTGGATGACAGATGCATCTACCGTATATTTTCCTTTCGATGTTGAATTCCAAAACTTTTGTATACATGCCTTTCCATTTTATCTTTTCAACGTTTTTCTTCGAATTGTTATTGCTGCTAAATTACTTAGGTCTCTTTTTAAATTTCATTTCATACGGTTAGTTCCCTTTATGTTTATTTTGTCGTGCTAATGTGGTATGGCAATTTAGGTCAACATACATTTGTACCAGTCTCTATATTGATGATGTCTGTTTATCTCACTAATAATGTGTAAATACTTTACATTTGGCATAGTGTATTTTGCAATTACTGATTTGAAGATATACATTAGTTCAGCTTATTAAATATTTACCAGTAGTAGTAGAGATATAGCTTACTAGATAAATAATCCAACTTTCAACAATCAACGCACAAGTTAAAAACCTCAGCGTCAACTATTTCCATTTAGGTAGCTGAGTAATATTAGCAGCTGTCGCATAGCTAAAGTGACTCAAAACCAGATATATTAACCTGCTTGTACTTGATAGATGAATCAAGTTTATGGGAGTTTGATGTAAAAGAATATCCGTATTGCAATATGAGAATGTGCTGAGAACTTCAGTAAGTGTATACATAAAACGAATTCCGACTAACAAAAATGTACACAATTAGTTTTTATAAAAATCAGTAGATAGTTTTATTGAAACATGCTTAGAATTGATTGGAGTAAAAGTTCTGTTATTCAAGATACAGAACGGGATAAACATAAAACAAAATATCATTCCTACCATAAATCATCTATGATATGAAAAACTGGTAATCGTTTTCATTTTGACAGGAAAACTATAATGACAGCCATTGGTGGTAAAACTTGAAAACAGTCAAAAATTAATAGTGATCTCATTACTCCTTGACGAATTTGTATACATAATAAAATAAAAACATGGTATTGTTTGCTTGTATCTTCTCATTTTTGTTTAGGACTGTAATTGATCAGTCATTTGTTGGCATGTGTACTGCCCCAAATGCCCTGGTATGGCCGAGTGTGGGGCCCGCCCACCCCCTCGAAATGCTCTCAACACGGCCACGCGTATACAGCCTCTGCCAGGGAAGTCCTACTCACTGCCTTCTCGTAGCGGGGGTGTTGTTTACGAAAATGAGAGGACGAAAAGCGAATGTCCGGCGCTTTAACCGGATGCCAAACCAATGGTGCACATGGGCTCCAGTATCCTGAGGGAACAAATGACGTATGAACCAATTTCTTGGTCACCGGCTACCATGGGACTGCATCTCCTTATGATGCTCCACTGTCTTGTGGGTCAGACCTTTGGGTCAAAGGCTACGGGTGTGGCCCCCTAAGAAAACCACCTGCTTCGGTTTGGGCACCCGGGCAGTATCACAGTCCACACACAAATAAAATTTTGTGTAGCGCATATATATTTGGTGCCCTCTTGCCCCAATATTTATGTGTTCAAATAAATAAATAATGTGCAAACTGCCTCGATATCGCCTTACGTCACAAGCTTTATAAGCAAAGAGGGATGGTGGTTAGCAGTGGAATCCAGGATGTGCGTTTCGTCCTATTTGGGATCCGTCGGCTGGATTTACCTGCATCAACGATGGGAAGATACAAGTAAAAAATATCAAGTGAATTTAAACTTCACTCCATTGCACAAACAGGTGGCTATCAGGACTCAGTAGCTAAGGGGATTTCACAATAAAAATTGAATCGAATCAGATAAAAACATGTATTTCTGAATAAAATGAATACGGAATATTCACCCACATTGTTTAAAATAACTTATTATTTAGTAAACTTACCGGAAGTCCACGTTTTCGTAGATGTTCGATGAACAAAGGTGACGATAATATGCTGTTTCATACATACACATACGCGCGGAAAGAAAAATCAAAACAAGAAGTAAAAAGTAACGGAATAGTTGGGAGACAAGAAAGCTTACTCTAATATCTACCATTTGTAGTTACAATCATGGTCATGAGTTAATCGCACTACATAGTATGATAAACGTACATCCACTTTTATCCTAACATCGATTAAAACTGTGATAAATATGAGTATTTCCAGATGCATAAAATACCAACTGTCTACCAGTGTACATACTGTCTATTAATCATGAATTTATAAGAAAGCCGAAACAAATCATAATCTTAAACTGACTAAATATCAATTTGTTTTCGTACTAAACGATTAATTGATAGCATAAAAATAGATTTATTTTTATTTCATGAACCACAAAATGAAATAAATTGTAGACTTGGATTTCATTTTTCGCAATACAGTTTCGTTAACTATATACCTCTTATTATATGAATTTCTAGTGTAAATCATTTTGATTAATACCTTAACATATAAGGTAAATAAATGAATTACATACACTAAACAACTACAAAAAGCTTTGTTCTTAAAACTTTTTCTTCACAAGTGATCCAATTGATTTAAGATATTATGTTACAAAAGATTTTTTTGGTTTTAGTTTCTAATAAACACAATTTCCAATCTCCTTATAGTTAATTTATTTCTTATCGGTCGATTATGTTTAATTATCACTAATCTATATCACAAACGATCAAGATACTTTCTACAATGTAAGATGAAAAATGTTCACTCTAAAAAAAAGAAAAACAACAAGTATGGCTAGTCGTATACAGTGATAAGAATAAATTTTTATGGTGTCACATAAACTGTTAATATTAACAAAGCCCTCTTTAATGTTCACTAAAACAACAATGTTTTTAGCACTAGATTTTATTTGAGTCAGATTTGTCTATTTATAGAACATGAAACAGAATGACTACGTGTGGTGTTTGAATGAACTAATGATTCTTTTGTACTTGTTGAATGCTTGATTTCGAATTCCAAATACAGTACATATGTTCGTGCTTATATAGTACTTCTCGATCCAATTGCGTTACTTCTAGGATTCTTAGTTCGTACTATAATTCAAATACTCCAAATAATCACATTGGCGTCACGATGGAGCTTGTGGTGGAACGGTTGGACATACATTCAGATTTTGATGTTTTTGAGGATTACTTGGAAAGGTTCGGAATCTGGGCTATGACCAAGGAAGATGTTGAGGATGTTAATATTGTGGCACACCTCACATTTATCAGAAAAGAAGCTTACAGCTTACTAAAAACTCTGGCTTTACCAGAAAAGCTTATTTCTTTTCTTTATGCGACTCTTAAGGAACTACTGCTAGACTATGTTAAGTATACAAATTTCGATTGCGGTAAAGGAAGATTTCGTAAAACGATTCATGAGGATACCAAAAATTCCACTACATTACGTCATCCCAATCCAGTGCATACTCAAGGTTATGCAGATAATCCATTGAGGAGTTGTGATGCATTTCATAAAGATGGTCACTTCTGGGATTCTTAGATCGTACTATAATTCAAATACTCCAAATTATCACACTACGTTAGTTGGTGAAGGAAATTATTTCGTTTGAATCCTTTGACTATAATTTCTAAAAACATTACATACTACACAGGATGATGGTGACCAGAAAAAATTTAGGTTGGAAGAAGGCTTAAACCAGTCGCACAAAGGTAACTCATCAGTTTGTGAGATTATTGACTGTTCGCTTGAATCGTGTTTGGAAGGGTGAACTATATAATAATGATCAGAAATGATAGTAAAAAATGGTTAGTGATCTTAAACGATATGTCTCAAAATCGATTGCAGTGGGTACATATATTTATTTCCTACTTTCCTCTTCATAATTCTATATTATCGCTTTTCTCCAATTACATTCTCTATGTCTAGATCGTAGTTACCAATGTTACAAGCCGATAAACAAAATCGGTTATATGACAAGATGCAATGCAAAAATTACAAAAGCCATCGGAAAGCATAAATACTTACAAATCTGAGAGTAGAAGAGCTGTATTAGGTAAAAAACGATCCCAACGACGTCGTCTGGCAAACTCGTTAGATCTATGTAAAGAAAAATAAGGAGAATAATGACATGAAAGATAAACTCCTGTTTGGCATTTTTACATATATTTGCTAACGCTTAACTGTAAAATTAATAATATATAATAAAAGATTACTATGGTTCAAACTGACAAATAGAGAAAAAACCTAAAAACACCAACTACCGTGAAGGATGATGACTTTTTCTCATCTGCCTTAACGTCAGTTAGTTCAGCTGGATCCCAACTGGATTTGTTAGATTATTCAATGAAAATAGATAAGATGGATAGTTATTACGTTTAAGTGTACGATTAAATTCTTGAGAATATTAACGAAATGGGGGACTGAGTCAATCACAGGCCGCTGAGAAAAAGCGTTATTCCTAAAACAATGTCTGTGGTAAAGTTAAATAGAAATCAGGAAAGAAACAACACTTGAAGTTAGCAATTCTGATGATAGTTTACCATAAGCTCTAACATGAGCAGCGGTGTTCGATTAAAGGGAATGTACAAAGTTAATGCACCTTTTAATGACATACTGCCATAAAACCTGTCGATTTACGTGATCAGAGGCTGTCTTAAAGTCGAAAAATACAACTGTGGTTGGGAGTCGATATGTATATTAGTGTTCCAGAACTTGACGAATATCCGGTCGATAGATCCATTTACAGGTCTAAAACAAACCTAGTTTTCCTGAGTTTGCTCTTCACGAGCTAATATTTTAAACATTCTTTTAGCCAGATTGAGTCTTTTGTAATAATCACCAATCAAATGGGACTATATACAGTTCCAATACTCTTGCAGATATCTCAGTCAATTCGACAGATAAAACTGGACCACCAAATTTAAAGCACTGTGCCAAACCAATGACGAGCAGCCTAGAGACCTTATTGGTACTTCTCGTCTAGCCCTGCCTGTTGAGTTCAGAACACCAATATATGAATCACATATTTCAGACATACTTGGTTCACATGCAAGCAAACCAGACCAGACCATACCGTAAAATAAAAAAACTAACAATTATACAGGATCAAGCCAAAAAGTAACTGTGAGAGACAGTAAATCGGGAATAATTTAAGAATAGTAAATCGCATGGTAGTAGTCAATAGGTCAAATAAAAGCTTATTATAAAAGAAATATAAATATACGTAATCTAGTTACTTAACAGTTATACAATAAGAATGTATATATAGTAACCCATAATTCGGATATAACACAGTTATACTGTCTTTCAACACGTCCTGCTAGTCACTTCAGTCTCCTAGATTGACAGTGGATCATTGTTCTACTTTTTTCTTTTACAAAAACCCCGAATTTTGGACACCTGTTTTTTTACAAGCCTGAAAGGTTTATTGTCGTCTGTCGTCGTTGTCTTTTCCTTAGCTTTGGCTTTCGCTGCCCACCCTTGCTCACGACCGTTGCATAGGCTTTGTATCAGTTTGAGATTATGTTTGCTTGACTCCTCTTCACATTCTGATGGTCACAGTCGCTCGTAGGTCAGTCTTCTTTTCACAGCTGTCTGGATATCATGCCAAACAAATCGAAGGAAAATCGCCTTAACATTTGACCAACTGTTTTAGTTGTTTCTGAAACATAATCTTGACTTTCGTCGTTAAATTAATCTACAAGGGGTCTTCCTGATTTGGTTTTTCTGTGTCCAGTAAGACGCAAAAAAATACGTGTTCGTACTATAGCCTGACCGAGTCTACACATATGCCTCGGAATGAGCAGCAGTTTTCCTTTGAGCCTCTTCAACGATGGGGGTATGATCTAGTCGCGTCTGACGGTCAGTCGATTATGAGGGATGCCGTGTAAGACGATGCCTATTATTATGCTTAAAACTGACGTTTGCAAAGAATAAACGGCTTTCTGAGCACAATCGTAGCAGACAGTTATATAAAGCTTAATGCAAAACTCATCGTTTTATTCATTCCAATTGCAGTCTATGGGAGCAAAATGAGAGACAATGTGGTATGTCCTTATCTGACCGTGTTTGTACTTCACCAGATAGTCGAACAGAGAACATACAACTGTCTATTGGAATACGGTCTAAGAAAGCCTGTTCTGATATCGAACTTGATCCTATACCTACGCAAGCAAGGGAAGGCTCCAGATACATGGACAGTAAATTGAGCCTATTGACTGGGTCAATTTAGTAGCTACGGTCGGGAGCTCATATACAGTGAACGAACTAGTTTTAAGCAAGTTTTAGTGGCCCGTGATCTGACTCCAATTTGATCGTAATGATTGGTTGCTATCGTCTATCCTCGTATATAATCATTGACTTAAATCGCGTTAGTTAATAACGGAATTAAATAAGTCAAATAACGAGAATGGAGTTTCGAATGCATATATTTCGTATAATTGTTGATTAGACAAACGAACGGAGGAACGATGCTAAGATTAGAAAGCGAAGCTAAATTGGCGCGCGGTGGAGATGGCTGGTAAGCCAACTCCCCCTTAACAAAGAGTTAATCAATATTTATAAGCCCACAAAAATCAATTACAGACATGTGATGAGTAACGGGATAAGAAGTGTGCATACGCCTACGCGCTCATACAAAGACAGTCAAGACATTGATAAGCGAATAATTAACAAGGTCAGAATGTGACTCAAATAGAATGAATAGAATGGGCTGTCCGAAAGTTAGAATAATGAGGTATTTGGACTTAACATAATGACAGACACTACAAAGTAAATGCATGGGCACTAGTTGTTGAAAGAAGTTTGTATGGGAAAGGATAAAATATGTGGCATTCCATGTTGTGTCAAATGTATTTATAAAGGATATCGAGTGTTGCAAAGCAAGTATTTACTTTATTTACTATTTAAGAGTTCTCATACATTGCTTCAAGCTACACCGTTTATGTAAGGAATAATAATAATATCCAGCTCCCTTAAACGAAAGAGAATAAGCATGACTTCGAATTGTAACCTACTGGTTGGCATTACAAAGCTATAGCCATCAATCGACGGCTCCAAGAAAGTATATTCAAAAAACGAAATTGAAATGGTAAAAATGGCTTAGTTTTCGAAGTGGCTGTCTTTTGACTGATAAAATTGCAGGTTCAAACCTGGTTATGCCTATTTCGGATTAAGTACATGGGTGCTATTAATAGACCTAACACAAAAAGGTGCTCTAAAGTCGTTAATTAATTGCTTAAATCAAACGAGTTTATTGTTAAAAGATTAAATGCTTAATTAACTTTATAAACTGTAAAGTCGGGTGACGGAATTGAAACTGCTAGGGAGCATCAGTCCCCTTAAAATCAAAGGTACACCTTGCTGAAGAGTACCAAATAATACGTGATTTAGGTCTAGGGTTTCCTGTCGACTACCTCCAACCACCACCCTACATCTCAACATAGTGTACTTGATATCGAGTCACTTAGACTAGTGAGCATATTACAACTTGATCAATAGAATTTGAATATCACTAAGATGGACTTGAGATATGTGGGATTAGTTATTACTCAGTCGTCCGACGGATAATCAGAAGGTAATAAGATGGGCAAATAATATTGATAATAGACAACAAAAGTCTATGTTAACATACCGAATAACAGAAACTAAAGGGAGTTCAAAACAATCATATTTTATAGGTACGAAAGGGAGTAGTCCCACAACATAACACGCCATTATCCATATTACATACGAAAACGGAGCAAAAGTGAGGATGTTTCTATTGCGTAATTCACACTTTTTTGATACTTTTGAATTCATTGACCCCCATACAGTTATATGCTCTCGATTGTAAGTTTCAATAAGGCGGGCAACCTAAAATAATAGTAAGTAAATTCAGTATATTATAAATCATTAGGGAAAAATTTCATGCATTTAAAAATTTTGAATGCTAAACAGTGGTTGATATGTGATAGCATTTCAAGAACTGCTGAGACAAATTCGCAAAACTAACACCTGAAAAACCAGATAATTAACGCTGTTACTGATTATAAAATAAGATCATTTAGACTCGAAAAGATTTTTAGTGATCAAGCAATTAACAGATTAGTCAACTATTATAAGCTCATGAAGATAATTAAAAACTTTGTACACTTATTAGAAATACTTGGAATTCTCAAAAAGCATCGTTTACTCTCCGTTAATGTTAGAGCTGTGAAATCGAACTGATAGGTTATAAGTTTCAGTGAAAACTGGGTGACCTAAAAAGACTTGCATCCTACATTTACTGATGTTTAAAATAACTTTTAATCGTATTTATATTTGCTTAATGCTACGAATACGTGTCATTTTACAAAGCAAGGAGAACCTGTTATGTTAACGAATCGTGCAGTCTTTTGATATCGAAAACCCAAACATAACAATAATAATTTTTTTCATAACAGCTTAACAGTACAAATAAGAAGAAATATAAAAGAACTCAATATTTCTTATCTGCTAAAATGATGTAAATCGCTACCAGGGTAATTTTCGTTAGCATACAATTATTAAATAAAGCGATAAACAACGAAACTCTTGAAACAGGTTTTATTATTATATTTTACGCCAGTGGGAGCTGTAAGATGAGATCGAAATGTCAGGAGCCCTATAGTCCCCCAATAGTTTAACTATCCCAAAAAATTCAAAGTAAAAGTGACTATTTCCAGACATAAGTAAGCAATTTTGCAATACTATTTAGGTGAATATATATCAATTTTAAGATCTTGGTGTGAACAAAATTTATAAAACTGAGAAAACATTTCCATGGACCACTTTTATAAAAATAGCAACAGAAAATATAATCTCGTCAAACAGGTGCTAACGTTTCGGGTAAGTCTATATTCTCGTAAGTTTACTTACGATTCGTTGGACAGAACTGTTTTCTGGGATTGTCTATTGAAGAAGGGTGTGCCTGAGAAGTTTATTAACATCCTAAAAGCCCTAAATATAAACACCTCAGGCAGAGTGAGGGCATACAACCACCTCTCTCCATTGTTCCATTCAAGCAGTGGTGCTAGGCAGACTTGCCTAATCTCACCATTCCTCTCCAACTTTGCTATCGATGATGTTCTGGAAACAGCTCTAATGGATGTAGGTAGTGGTGGTGTGGATCTATTGCCTGGAGAAAGACTTTTCAATTTTCAGTAAGCAAATGATATTGTCTTACTGTGCGATAATGCCCAAGCCATGCAATCCGCACTTAATCAGTTGGCAATCAGTGTCCGTAGGTATGGTATGTGCTTTGTACCTTTGAAGTGCAGAGTATTTCTACAAGACTGGCAGGATCCTAATCCTGTACTCACCCTGGATGGTGAGCAGATAGAAGTAGGCGAGAAGTTCGTGCATCTAGGTAGCTGCGTAAGTGCTGGTGGTGGCTTGAGTGATGAGATCAATGCACGTATAGTGAAAGCCAGAGCGGCTTATGCTAATCTGGGCCATCTTTGGCACCTTCGTGATGTCAGTCTGACTGTAAAAGGTCGGATCTACAACGCGTCAGTGAGAGCAGTTTTGCTCCATGTTTGTGAAACCTGGCCTCTCCGAGTTGAGGATGTTAGACGACTCTCTGTGTTCGATCATCACTGTCTCCGAAGGATGGTTGACATCTAGTGGCAACACCATGTTAGTAATGCAGAGGTTTGGCATCGTGTGTTCGGACACAGAGACGAAAATCCAATTGGTGTCACCATCTTGAAACACCGACTGCAGTGGCTTGGACATGTCCTACGAATGTCATCTCAGAGAATTCCACGTCAAGCATTATTTGCCGACGCTGGAACTAGTTGGGAAGAGAGCCGGAGGTAAGTCATCTAGGCCCGGTGATTTGTAGAGCTTCAAGAGTTGGAGTTCCTTGCGGACTTCCGCCTCGTTTGGTGGATCAGTCGTCACCGGCCATGGAGGGCAGGACAGTCTGACCGATGTTGCCGGAGCAGCAGGCCAGTTGAACTGCTCATTAGCACGTTCCGACAATCAGGCTTCTCGGTCCTTACGCAAGCTATGCCCGATTTCATTACGTAAAACTCTTTGTTTGTGGTCAAACTCACGGTCACCCGGAGTAGACCGACGGGCTTCAAGGAGTTGTAAGGAAACAGAAGCAACCCAGTGCTTATAAGCGGGACGTTTCGCGAAGCAGATGACAGTTCGCCACACGCTCTCACTCGATTAGTAGTGTTCGAGTAAAGAGCCTTCACAAGGTTTATGTACTCCTGACGTACGCCTATCAATGACAGACACTGCCATAGAACCTACTGGTATACCGAGTAAAATGCTGCTTTTAAGTCAATAAGGAGCACCATTGTCGGATGCCGATAGCCAAGTTTGTGTTCTAGAACCTGACGAATCGTGAATAAGTGGTTGATGCAGCCACAACCACATCTCAAGCCAGCCTGATTTTCTCGTGTTTGCATTTCATGATTCTTAGTTAGGCGTTTGAAAATTATTGAGGCTAGCATTTTAGGTGCTATATTTTATTTATTTATTTATTATTTTTCTAACACAGATTTTGGTACAAAGAGGCACCGAATACATATGCGCCACACAGATCTCATTTGATGTGTGAGGGCTGTGATACTGCCCGGGTGTCCAAACCGAAGCAGGTGGTTTTCTTAGGTGACCACACCCCGAGCCTTCGACCTGAACGTCTGACCCACAAGACAGTGGAGCATCGTAAGGAGATGCAGTCCCATTCATTCATCGGTCTGAAAAGCTTACTGGTGTTACCTACGGTCACTGTCCTTTCTATCTATTTTGCTTACGTTACCCACCACTGCTCATGTCGTTCCGTAGTCTTTTGGTTGACTTAGATATCATTTGTTTCCGCTCTTCATCGTATTTAGAGCCTGATGGGATGAGTTTACAAGAATCCATCAGTGCAATAGATGTCGCGGAAATCCACATGTTTTTCGTTACCCTTTGGATCGAATCACCAACAGATGTCGCTGCTGTTGCCACAGTTATTCGTATATCATCTCGGTTAGTCTCGTTTTCAAAATTGTCTAAGTGTGACCTCAGTTGTTTCTGGAACCTACTTTTGATTTTCTCATCACTGACTTTAACTCTAATGGATCTTCATAATGTGGTTCTCTGTGTTCAGTGCGGTGCAAGCAAATGCGTGTTCGTATTAAAGCATGATCAGAGTCTAAACATGTATTCCAGAACAAGCGGCAGTCTTCTGTCGAGCCTCTCCAACGGTCACTGATGGTAACATGCTCTATTTGAGTCCATAGTTGGTTTAGTGCAGCGGGTCGCCATGTTAGACGATGTCTCTCCTTATCCTTAAAATTATTGTTTGCTGAAAATAAACGATTGCCTGAGTAGTTGAACAGATGATCACCATTATCTACTTGCTAAGCCGGAACATCAAAATAACCGCCTAAATGTCTTTCTGATTTTTTCAAGCTACCTACTCGGACACAAAAGTCACTTACTAAAAGTCCTATGCCTGAGTGTTTATTTAGCTTTCTGTAAAACTAATCTTTCACTCCATTTGAGCTACAGTCAGTGGGAGCGTAGGCAGAAACGACGAAAAGCAACGACGTGTCTATCCTTCCGAGATTTTACGGAGATGTTTAGCCTAACAGCACATGAAAGACTGTTAACGGAGATCTGCCCCCAAATGCCCTGGTATGGCCGAGAGTGGGGAGAGTCCGCTCTCCCTCTCGAAATGCTCTCATATGGCCACGCGTATACAGCCTCTGCCAGGGAAGTCCTACTCACTGCCATCTCGTAGCGGGGGTGTTGTTTACGAAAATGAGAGGACGAAAAGCGAATTTCCGGCGCTTTAACCGGATCCCAAACCAATGGTGCACATGGGCTCCAGTATCCTGAAGGAACAAATGGCGTATGAACCAATCGTTGGTCACCGGCTACCATGGGACTGCATCTCCTTACGATTCTCCACTGTGGGTCAGACCTTCAGGTCAAAGGCTCGGGGTGTGGTCACCTAAGAAAACCACCTGCTTCGGTTTGGGCACCCGGGCAGTATCACAGCCCTTACACATATCAAATGAGATCTGTGTGGCGCATATGTATTCGGTGCCTCTTTGTACCAAAATCTATGTGTTAAAATAAATAAATAAATAAGTGCTGGATCTGCCCTCGTACTTAGTACTATGCTTACACCCGCCAGTCCACGAGAACTAGCCATCGGGTCGCCAGTTAAACGGAGGGTGTATCTCGTCGGCTTTCAGTTTTGCCGAGATGAGGTCAAGTGAATGACGACACTATGATCCTGTATGCGTGTTTCGGAGACACAGCATACGTCAATGACACAGGATTCTAGGGTTTATCCAAGGAAGCCTGCTGACCGACTTGACATAGTGTGCATACGTTGAAGGTTCCAATGTGTAGTTTGGAGCGAGGTTTCAGTAGACCTGGGACAGCGTTTTGCGCACTAGAATCGTTGGCTATGGTGACACTTGAGGAGGAAACCAAAGGAGGAAGTTTAGGTTTGAAAGTCGATGTAGGAGGAATAATAGGAATTGAAGAGGGAGGTTGATTATGAATACAGTGGTCTTGAGTGCTGTTAGAGGTATGAGGGCAATTACCACTTCCCAGTTGCCCACCTCGTGGAAGGGTTCTTCTGGAGGTACCTGGAAAGGAAATTACGTTAGAGGTGGTCTTAGTGACCTGAGAGCGTGACCGCAGTTCCAAAGGGGCGAATGCTTGAGGCCGTTCACATACGACTTTTTTGTGAGTAGTTTTCGAGTCAACCCTATATTGTCGGGACTTTGCCACCGGAGACGGATATCCGTGAGATAAGATGAGGTGTGCGTTTCTCGGGTCGACCTTTTGTAACCCCACTCCTCCTTGTGGGAAGACAGAATCGCTGTTATGCCAGTTGTCTGAAGGAAACAACTTACTGCCGTCACACCTCTGTACAGTCAGCAGTACGACTTCGCCTTCGGACCTTGGATTTGTTGCTTTTAGTCTTACCGCTCTTCAACCGACCTGTCTGGCATGGTAGGACCTTGAGGAACGGTTGTTCCAGCCAGTATAGCTCAGTTGCTTCATCACGATAGGCAAGCCCGACCACCACGTCAAGGTAGCAGCAATGGCCGGGACGCGATCGGAAGTAGATTTATACACCGATAGTCGTTGCAGAAACGACGTGAACCCTTTCTAAATACAAGGACAGCTATCGACTCAATTCACGATATAGGAGCACTTTAATTGCTAGACATTTGTAAACAACTCAATCAGTTCCTTAACGAGGTCGCCGCAATCGTTAAAAGGGTCGGAGGCAAGTCATCTGGGCCTGGAGATTTGTGACCCCTTGAGAGTTCCTTGCAGACTTCCACCTCGTTAGAAGGATCAGTTGTTAATTGTATTACAAACGTTGAATATCGGCAAAACATACAACGGTCATATAAAGTGAAGCTACACATAAAGAAAAGATAAAAACCTGGGGCCAAAGGAGTACACATGAATAAATATAAAGTTACAAACTAACCTCATTGATGAGAATATTGTCATTAACTTTAATATCAATATTGATGGGGGTATTTGGAAACTTATTAAACAAGTCCTCTAATCGTGCAATTTTATACGACGAGGGAGACTCCGCAATACAAAAGGAACCTGACTGGGTAGAGATAAGAAATCACAGTTAGTTAAATAATTATTGATGCAAGAAATTCAGAAGTTAACCAATGCACAGAATAGAGGTCAACAAAAGACCGCCTCCAAATGCCCTGGTACGGCCGAGAGTGGGGAGAGTCCGCTCTCCCTCTCGAAATGCTCTCATATGGCCACGCGTATACAGCCTCTGCCAGGGAAGTCCTACTCACTGCCTTCTCGTGGCGGCGGTGTTGTTTACGAAAATGAGAGGACGGAAAGCGAATGTCCGGCAATTAAACCGGGTTGGTGGACAAGGGGAGTCCACCTAGGGGAGTTGGAAAACCCTGACTCCAAACCAATGGTGCACATGGGCTCCAGTATCCTGAGGGAACAAATGACGTATGAACCAATCGTCGGTCACCAGCTACAATGGGACTGTATCTCCTTAGGATGCTCCACTGTCTTGTGGATCAGACCTTTAGGTTGAAGGCTCGGGGTGTGTCCCCCTAAGAAAATCTACCTGCCTCGGTCTGGGCACCCGGGCAGTATCACAGCCCTCGCACAAATCAAATGAGATTTGTGTGGTGCCTCCTTGTTTTAATATCTATGTGTTCAAATAAAATAATATAACAAAAAACCGAAAACATGATAACGACTAGTTCAAGTTTTTGCAAATTTAAAGTTGTATGATAAGAATCTGTTATGCAACATACCTCAATCAACAAAGCCTAATTATTACTTTTGATAGAGTCAGGAATACTAAATTTGTACGTATTCAAGGCAATTAAACATTGATACAATCGGATCTTGAAAATAGTATGGGACACGCATATAAAGAGATAACAATGTGAAGAAATAAAGGAGAAAATAGTAAATCAATAATGGAGTGAACAGAAAACACAGTTCAGTTCGAGATATAAACAAAAAGGACTTTCAGTTATGGAAGCTCACTTAAGTTTTATGAATGATGTGAAAGAAAACAATACCGCGATCATCACATTCTTTTGTTCTGAGATATCTGATAACAACTCAAGCCACTGTGTTGCACCGTTTCTAGAACCACGGTCAGGGAGGTGTGATAGATCGACAGAATTCCATCCTACGCAGATTTTCTAATACCCTTGTGCTATGTCATAAACTGACTACCTCTCTAATTTACCAACCTAACTTCAGGATTGGCAAAGAATGCACGATTTGGGAGTCACTAGCGTACCATTCGCAGAACATGAATAAGTCATTAAAGTCTGTGTTTTAAGATAGTGCAACCGATTGAATTATCATCACTACGTCCGAACACACATTGCCAAATATCAGTATTTCTAACATGGTGTTCCTACAGGACGTCAGAGACAACAATAACTGAACATAGAGTCATCGAAAATCTTCCGTTCGGTGAGACTAGGTTTCGCAAGCTTTTGCTACGCTCTTATGCCACAACTAGCACTCACAGATCTACCTGGATACATGAAACTTTCGACTATTTATAAATATTGACTACGAATGGGAGTCGCTTGTTGTTTTGGATGACTTCATCAACAGGCTCTACGGTTATAAGCTTATAATTATATTTTACAAAGGTCAAAATAAGGCATGTATTTATGAATTTGAAAATGTTATATGTTAAAACTGATTGTTTTTAATGATCGGTTCTCTTATTATAATACGTTTATTTTAGTGGTTAGCTGACGTGGATTTAGGGTGACAGAAAACAACCGGGTAGATAATTGAGAATTCTATTAATAAAAATGACTGAAATACCTTGCCAATTTTCGAAATCCATGTACGGTATTGAAATAGAATATGTTGTGGCAGAAAGCACGGAAGCTTCTCAGCATTAATTGAAAGTGTGAACACGTTACAATATGTGGATATTACAGTCATTTATGGGTCCTTATTCTTATACCACACAAGTTTACAACTACATCTTATATCTACCAAAAGAGATCAAATCAGTAATACCCTTCTACTTTTAATCAAACTATGTGCACACTGATGTTTTAGCGCGCTAAAAGCATTCAACCGTAGAAACTACTGTGAACTCACGAAAGAAATGAACTGCTTAGACACGGTATATAGCTTTTCATACTCCCAAGTGATCCCCAGGACTTTTACTCATTTGCAGTACGTAAACCGTATTCGATTTAATAGAGAAGCATGTAGTTGAAAGACCCTGAATAATTATGAAGTTACCTTGGGAGAACAACAATTTAATTTGTTTACTCATCACAATACGCTAAAGAACACCGACATTAGATCTAACAATAAAAGGCTGAATTGATACTAATTAAAAATCGAAAAACGACACACAGCAAAAATAACTTTATACCTGGGGTGAATTGAACTTCAATTACTCTAAGGTATCTAGGTAAATCTTCGTATGAAAATTCTTTCACTAAACCCGACACGCCAGTAGAACGATCTAGTGTATTATCATGAAATACGACAACCTGATTATCTTTCGTGATATGACAATCAGTTTCGAGCATATTTGTACCGAAAAGCAAAGAACTAGGTGTGATCAACATATAATTATGACAAATACTCATTCATACCTACTGAAAGCCTCTAAAGTATTTTCAATCTCTTCTCCTGAACCACCCCGGTGACTAATATGAGAAGCTTCGAAAGGGAGCCACTTTCTTCTGAGAAATATGATCGGTCTCCTCAGCAGAATATATGAAGTGAAAGAGTAAGCCACAAACACTGTAGCGACAAAACCCAACATGTTAGGAAACCCTACTGTACACCTACATTCGAAGCGAACTCATAATTTGTAGGTAAGGTGAAATAGGTTGTGTAAACAAAAATAGGAACCAACTCTAAACAAAGCAAATATTTTCGATTTGCGATTAAAAGTGATCACATACTAAGGATTTATAGAGGATATGATCGGTAGATATCAAAAAGCTTGCATACATTGAACCGTATCTACGTTAGGCGACTGACCCAAATAATCTGTCTTGAGCTTAATGTTCGGCAGATCATTTTTTTAGTTTTGCGCAAATTAATAGTTGACTGTAGTTTTGCCTCACCTTAGTATTCACTTTTCAAGTTTTTCACGTCAATGTTAGCCTACTTATCCAGATGAAATTGGAAATCAACTCATTCTGAGAGCAAACCGACACTGACGTTAACTGACTTTCTAATTTAAGCTAAAAGTAATACCGAAATCAGCGCTGATTCGGTACTGATTGTTTTCTATTTATTAACAAACTACTTGTACTACTCATAAGTTAAACTATTAATCAACAGCTATTACTACGTATCTTACAGAGACTTATTAAAATATTTTTACATGGAATCCTTCTTAATTGTTATAATCCCACTTTGTTCAACTATATAATCTTCATGTAGACTTCTATTTTTGGCGTTGTTAGAATAGAACTAAACACTATGAAATTACTTTATGAAATTTTTCTCGGCCAGTTGCTGCCGCTTTCTTTCTGATTTTTCTTTCAGCTTATCATTACCTGGAGGATTCTTGTAATTCTTCTGGTAACCTCGGAGGCGCAACAATCCCACTAAATTTGGTATCGAACCAACGTCACGTTCATACTGGTGGGAGAGTTGTGTTGTGGTATACGTCCTAACCATAAAGTCCCCAAAGCTGAACACGAGGCAACTGGAAAATAGGTATTCAACATTTGATGCAGGGAAAAGAACGACGGAGAAGGCGGAAAGAAGGCATGGCTCAACCTCACGGGCGTGGTTGCTCTGTATTGCTTGCTTTTACCCATACTAAATATATTTTTATATCTCTAGCCTGAATGCGTTCTCCGTCATATAATGGTAATGGTTTCGATCCAATGAGTCAGTGTAGACAATGATGTGACTTCCACGTAAGTTCTAATAAATCAGGCAGTTTTAACATGAAAAATCTACAATTTTATGATTAGGTCTATCATTAGGGCAGTACTAATAACGAGATGGACCATACTTCTACAAACCTTCAAGTTATTGATCAGTATCACTTCTCTCTATGCCCTCAAAAATTATAGCGTCCTGATGTGCTACGGTATACATAATTATTTATCATCCATAAACTTTTTTAAACCTCAACAGCACGGTTTCAGAAAAAGTCGCTCTTGTGTAAGCAACCTGCTGAATACAGTGTACAGTTGGACGACCATGCTTGATCGCAAGTGGAAAGCTGACGTTGAAAATGCCACGGGTTTTCGGAGTTTGACAATCAGCAACACCTAATATGAATCGTACCCACCAAGTGAAATCAAAAGACAGAAACGAGTAGGTTCGAAGATATACTTGATAGGATATCAATATATCGAGGATCGTCTGATCTAATCTGGCAAGCGATTGCAGAGGTTGTTGAGCACGGCGTTCGTACGTACCCGTGATCTGGTGTGAATGCATGACCAAGTGCCCTCAGTTAGGTGAATCCATTAAAACTAATGTGGTCAGCATCGAATGTCGAAAAATTAAAGAGCTATTTATCTTGGGGATTTATTTAATTCTAAAACATCATTCACCTTGACTTCTCAAAAAAGCTTCTGATACGGACAACCATAAATGTCATATCACTAAGCTCAAACGATTAGGTTGTAGGAAGCCATTTCCTACAGGTGTAACTCAAAGCTGTTCTCTAGACTGTTGAGCACAGAGTCTTGGTTTAGCTAAAGTCAGAACAAGTAAGCTATTTGGCTTGATAAACTCTATCTGTTTCTAAAACATAAATTAACACCGTTAGTATACAAATAAACAGTACAGTCCACTAACACAGGGACAAACAAGGACATAAATAACATACCGAACAGTAACTAGAGGGTAGGAAAAATGAGTCAACAAGGCGAGTATTGTTTTATAATGAACATAAAATCGTGATTGGTGAATAAACAGGACATAGTCATATAAGGTCAAACTAAGTTAGTGTGGTTGTGGGCGTTTGACTTTATCATTGGTGAGTTCGTTTATCGATTGCACCTTACACTTCTCCCGGAACGCGCACCACGTCCTTTTTCCTGGATTATCGTCGCTGTCAAATATCCGGCTTCTTCCAGTAGACATAGGCTTCGTACGTCTCGAACAATTTTTTCGTTTGCAGTTCTCAACTTTGCCGTACGAACCCGTCCGTCAGAGCCATAGCTTACCTGTTCGACAATGGCTTTAACCCATAGACTTCTACTCGTTTCAACGTTATTAAAGATAACTAGGTCGCCCGGGTGTAAATTCTTGCGTACGTTCAACCATTTATCTCTTGTTTGGAGAGTCGGTAGATATTCTCCTATCCATCTATTCCAAAATACGGTAGTTAACCTTTGAGCTTCTTTCCATCTTTTATTGTATAATAAAGTCTTATCCACAGAAACATCGTCGAATGATAATCCTTTGTAAGTCAACAACAACTTATTCGGAGTAAGAGCTTCTAGGGTGCCAGGATCGTCTGTCATTTTAACCAGAGGTCTGTTAATTAGTATCCTTTCTGCCTCGGTCAAGAACGTTTGCGGAGCTTCATCGGTCGACGCGTTTTGAAATAAAAGCACTGTTAGAACTCTTCTAATTGATCTTGTGATGCGTTCCCACACATCACCTCGATGACTTGCCCTAGGTGGGTTGAAACGCCATTCACAACCTCTCTCTAAAAGGGCATTTGCTATCTTATTCTGGTTCCAACTACATATGATCTGTCTAAGAATAGCATTGGCTCTTGTAAAGCTACCAAATGCGCCCTTATTCTTATTCACAACTCGTACAAAGGCGCCTTTCTCAACACCATCCTCGATACCACGGTGAATGTGTTCTGCCTGCTTCTTCAGAATCTTAGTTGCTGGCTTCTTTGTTACAGTGGCCTTCGGCCTTTTTGTAGTCTTGACTTTCAGTTTGGTGTCCATCCTTTCCTTAGTCTTTCTTAGAGTTGATTTGGGTTTAATAGCGTATGGTACTTCACTTTTTGGCCTAAAAACCTTGTACTCAGTTAATAAAAAGGAACAATGGACTTGACGTGGGACATTTTCGCAACGAGCATACTCCGCAACACCTTGTGCGAATTCTTAGGCATCGGCAGAGAAATGAATCTGACCAGCCAGCGGTTTATACGATTCTGGTAATGTTGTACGATCTTCCACAGACATCAATGAAGTACGACTAAATAGGTCTTTAAATTCAGTTGAATACAATTGTTCAAACTTATCCTCTAATTCCTCCTTAGCCGAGAGGTAATTCAGTTTACGGTTGTTTTCACGGGGTTCTCCGTAAGGGCCGAACAGCGTCCAACCCAATATAGTCCTCACAGCAGAAGGTTCATTCGTCTTTCCAGTTCTTATCTCTTTCATCTCATGTATACACGGTGCTTTGCACCCAGTCAACGGTTTGACGTTCTCATCTTCTACTCTCGGAAAAATTATGTCTTTTAGATAGGACCAGGATGCCATTTGATGCGCCGTTGACACAGTCTTGTAAACTGCCGGTAATTTTTTATCTGTCAATACTTTCTGGACCTTAACGGATGAGGAAAAATCTATCGAGTGTGACTCTACATCGACCTCTTTGGATACCAACGACGATTCATCACTCAGAGTCTTTAAAGATACCGTTTTCGGTTTCACCTCGAGGCCCAACTTATCAGCTAGATCATCAACTATGAGAGAAGTATCTGACCCGCTATCTAGAAAGGCGTAAGTCCGAATAATCTTCTCACCATTTTTTATCCATACAGGCACTACTGGTCTTTGTATATACTTATCGCCTTCCTCCGTACAAAGCTGAATATTAACGTAGGCATCACTATTAGTATTTCTTTGTTCTTCCCGCTTCTCGTGTAACAGGGTATGGTGTCTCCAACCGCATCCTTCAACAGCACACGACCTCGGTGATCTAAAAATTTTCGCTACATAGTTTACCTTCGGAAAAAATTACATAACTTGTGTCTAAGCACGAATTCTTTCCTTTCTCTAGCATTCTTGTATTTTAAACTTTTGATATTGATCTAAAGAATGATTACTTGAGCACTCCAAACAGGACGAATTACGTAAGGCAACATAGTCATCTCTAGTACTGTCATAAGATATCCTTGCTGTATTGTAATCTGCACTAATTTTCTCTTTTAAAACACCAACATCTCTATTGTCACTATTACTACCGCGGTTGACAAGTAGGCCCTATCTAGTATTAGCTATATCAGCTTGTTTTTTTTGCAAACTCAACAAGATCGGCAAACAGAGGCTCTCGACCTCCTCTGATAATCTTATAAGCTATATTTAGCCACTTTTGTTGAATGTGAGTTGGTGATTTCAGAACCATAGTTTCAATAGTCCTAGAAGGGTTCAAATCAGAAGCGTAATTCATCTGTTCGAGAGTCAAACCACATGCTTGTATTTCTCGAGACATTCGTCTCAAACCATCTGGTTGATTCCTTTTTATATTAGGAAAGTTTAACAAGTTGTCAACAAACGTGCGTGCCATAACGTGTTTTTGGCCAAACATTTCCTCTAAAAGATTTTATCATGAACATCAAGCCGTGATTGGTGAATAAACAGGACATAGTCATACAAGGTCAACCTAAGTTGATGTGGTTGTGGACATTTGACTTTATCATTGGTGAGTTCGTTGATCGATCACACCTCACGTAGGTACCAGGTGATACAAGACTTGCCTCTAACTCGTCATTGTTTGAACTAGTCCTTCTGAGACATGCTGCAGACTACAACCTCAACGTAGGCAACTCTGCTCTAAAGGTATCCCTAGTTATAAAAGATCTAGGATTGTTGATGCCCTATGATTTAATGTCCTACGCTAACTGCGACAAAAGTGGCTTCTGAGCAAACTTTACACTAGTAACGTTGAAGCTCAATCTTGGCCAGCTCGGCAGAACTTCCTACATAATCTTCAACAGTTTTATTAGTCTACATTTAGAGTACGGAAACAGCATTTCACCCCTCACTGCAAAAGATGATGACACTTTAGAACATACCAACGTTGAGCCATAAAATCAGTTCGAGGACTAAAATTCAAGTCTTGTGATGAGCGCCTCTAATCGCTGAATCTTCGCCTATTGGATTACAGGCGTCTTGTAGGCGACCTTCTAATGGCTCACAGCATTTTAATGTAGTTTACCAAGGTAGATGATCTTTGTTGAATGTTTAGAGGTTTAGTGTAATGTAACAGCTAACTTCGGAGACAAAACTCGTAGCCAGCACCTAACAAGGATTACTCCTTCGACGTATCGAAGTACTATTGCTGCTCTGAAGAACGTACAACACTCGGGACGTGATTATAGAAGTATATTAGTCAGGGTGGATACAAACGAAAGTAAGACCACCGCCGCACGGACGCACGAATAACTGATGCGCGTTGGCTGTCCTTGACCTTGACGTGAATCGATGAATCGTTCGATATTTAGTGACCCAACTCTCGGATGGTTTGGCTAGAGCTCAGTGACATTTCACTGGCCCTACACTAAATATTTCTGATTATTCCGTTAAACACTTAATTAAACTTAGTCTTAACATAAAACTTAGGAGTAACAACCAGAAACTGGAGGCACAATACAACAGAACGGACCCTCTACTCTTTAAGAGTTGTCAAACGTCAGAATTCGCAGCAGTCTGGGCTAGTCTAAGCAACTACCTGGCAGAGCTTTAAGAGAATACATAATATTTTCTTAAGGACTATGGACAGTATCTTATTATGGTTTGCCAGCTTTTTTAGTTTTCCTCTCTTGTCGGCAAAATAAGTACTTTCCTGCCTGAAGGTATAGGTGATCCACTGCTACTAGACATGGAAGCCCGTTAAGCGAAAGCTTCTATCCCACCCAAAACCATTCGAACCATTTGGGCCATTTAGTGTTAAAGACTTATGAAATCATCTATTTTAAAGACATTCAAGCCAAAGGAGATTACTTGTGACATAATATTTCCATAATTATATTTGACCAGATGTTCGTGGAGTTATTTTAAAAGATTTGCGCAAATTTTGTACGTAGTGTTACGAGCTACTATTGGTCGTTCATGTTATGCTGAACATATTGTCATTAGTGTACTAAATGTTTTTTGATCTAGAAATTTATTAATTCATCACCAAATATATATGTTTTATAAGTCACTAATCCGTTTACCATCAATGGTCAACTTAAGTGTCGTTCTAATGCTACTCTCCAGAGTATGATTTGATTTTTTGTGATTTTGCTTTAATATTATCTCATCTCCAAACTTATTATATGTTCCTCTGTACAGAGAACTCTTCTGCTTTATTATTGCGATTGAATTGGCGAGTGGAGCTGACTCTGACATTGGACTACAATACATTTGTATGGTATTACGTTTAATGACTATGTATGTGGAGTTTCTTTCATGAAGCTTTCTATCTAGATCTTATTGTGCTTATTTTCTAGGAGTGTAAATAAATCAAACTGCTGAGATCTTGAATTTTGTGCTTATACTTAACGAATATGGTTTTTTCCGACGACTGACAATTGTTCGCACTGGTTTAAATCTTTGCTTGTTATCATTTAAGTCTATAATGCTTTCATCTCATGTTGGTTTCCTGAACAATGAAATCGCTAGTTTTTCATACAAAGTAATCTTAAGTCTCTCCATTTATACTATGTCTTTGCAACGCCAAGAAATCTGGTAGTATAATTACAAACAGGAAATGTTTGTCTCGTCGCTACTGTTAAATAAAGCCGATATCATCAATTTTTCTTAATTTTTTTGTCAGTCGTGTACGACTGCTACTAGGCTTTTGTTTAAGGTTAACACATTTGTGTTTCTCACAAATGGGTCGATTTTCAACTCATCATCTAAAGGTCAATATATCACAGCAAAGAATACTCATGTGATCCATTCTTTCTGTTAGTGATCTTCAAGTCATTACCCTAGCTTACTATAAATACGTTATATTTCGACTATTTTCAAAGAACAGCATAAGTTGTTGTATTCTTACGATTTGATGCATGTCCCAAAAATGTTTACCAGATGCTGTTGTAACTTGTTTATTATTTTTAAACGGTATCATCGTGTTTTGTCTTAACTACGATGAAAAGTTATTTCGTTGCACCACTTAGCATAGACTAATTGGGTTTTATTCACCCATATCTTCGTATCATTGGGTCATAAACGACAAGTGGACATATTTTTGATGCTAATAAATCTGTTCGTTAGTAAGTGTATACTAAATTTTTAACTTAATCTCGTCGCCAGCTAGTCCATCAGCGTCAAAAGTGACTGAAAGTATTAGAATGCTATACCGTTCCTTCCGTGTTTTTAACATGCGTATAGAAACTCATAAGTGAATGGTTACATATAATTAACTCAAACATCGTGGTGCATTTAGAAATATGGATTTCTCTTTGATAATTGCTTTTGAGGGATAGATCCTTTGTTAATTGATTAACGTAATGACTTAGATTGGGCAGGTTACAGTTCCGTTTAGTGGAAACGCTGATAGAATGTAGTCTTTTGATCTCCTTGACCATCAATTCAGTATATATGAAATACATCCCTCTGAATGTATAGTTTTGTTTCAGGATTGGTCTACGTCAACATCGAACGGTAGGGAGTAAAGTAGTCGAGCGAATCGACCAATTCACTTATCTTGGTAGCCTCATAAACTGTTTTGGGTTAGTGTATGATAAAATCTTAGCACGGATCCAAAGGTTTTTATCGGTCTTTACTGGCTTAAGTCGCTTGTAGATTTGTTCGCCAACCGAAGACAAAGTATACTACACTGCAGCTTGTTCAATTCTACTTTATGACAGTGAAACATGGTTCTTAAAAAGTGTTCATAGTGTACTAGTGTTCGATGAGGGATGCCTTTAAAGCGTTGATAGGACATGTTGGGACCACTAATGGAGTAATGTCGACCTTAGACTGCGAGTACTGAGTAGAAATGGTAAATTGGTTTGTAAGGTTGTCAGTCTTCATCGACTGTGTTTGGAACATCGGATATGTATACCCAACAACCACCTTAAAGGACAATGTTTGCTGGTTTAAAAGGTTTTTGGAAGATATTTAAGAGTAGTCAAAGTAAAACTTGGTATCAATCCGTTAAGTAACTGTTGAATTCAGTCATGTTGATAAGTGCAGATAGCCAGGTTTGGGTTCAGGATATTAGCCTAACCAGCAGTTGACAATTTTTATTTATTTATTTTAACACATAGATATTGGTACAAGGAGGCACCAAATACATATGTGCCACACAGATCTCATTGGATATGTGTGAGGGCTGTGATACTGCCCGGGTGTCCAAACCGAAGCAGGTGGTTTTCTTAGGGGGCCAGACCCCGAGCCTTCGACCTGAAGATCTGATCCACAAGACAGTGGAGCATCGTAAGGAGATGCAGTCCCATGGTAGCCGGTGACCAACGATTGGTTTATACGCCATTTGTTCCTTCAGGATACTGGAGCCTATGTGCACCATTGGTTTGGCATCCGGTTAAAGCGCCGGAAATTCGCTTTTCGTCCTCTCATTTTCGTAAACAACACCCCCGCTACGAGAAGGTAGTGAGTAGGACTTCCCTGGCAGAGGCTGTATACGCGTGGCCATATGAGAGCATTTCGAGAGGGAGAGCGGACTCTCCCCACTCTCGGCCATACCAGGGCATTTGGGGGCAGCAGTTGACAATACTGGATAACATAGCTCATAATCGTTTACAATGGCCTAGATTCATTCACTCTTGAGCCGTAGCGGTGATTTGACCAAATGGACTTACAGTTTGATAGATAGTCCAAAATTTGATTGACACAGTGACGGTTGGCAGCATGAAAACTAGGCGTCTCTATCCTTGATGAAATCCAGTCAGTTACCAAGCTATCCAAACTGCTGTAGCCTTTAAACAAGTGAACTGTTTAACACACCGAGCAACCTTACTCTACTTTCAATCATCTATTTCTATTCTTCAAATCGGTCTCAAATGGGACGATTCCATTAATTCCAAAAGAAACTTGAATGCATGATAAGAACAAAGGCAGGTGTCGCGATTTCATTTTGATAGCTACTTCCTGGTTTCAGTCAAGTTAACTGATAAAAAGAAATATTATGTTAATCCCTATCCATTAGTATCAGTTCAACAATTATTCGAGGCAAAATATCCAACTCGTCCAAAACTAATGGTAGATTGTCTCTCTTTTAAAGCACTCACTGAAGTCATATTAGAGGTTGAGCATGTACATTGGAAAATAACTTATGAAATAAATAGGCTAACTAACACGAAAATTTGAGACTTAGTGAGATGTATACTACGTGAAAGTGTTTTCCTCTCTACTTTTTTGAATGTAGTTGTATCTGGGCTCTAAAATTTCAAATATACGATCGTTAGTGTTTTAAAAGCATCATTAAAGGGTGTTGGATTCACTAAACAAACATAGTATGCATATGCATCTAGACCAATAGTATCACGTATTATTAACTTGGGACGTGTGATTGAGTATTTTACTCTTACCAGATCTGTAGAATGCTAGAAATCGACGACTAAGGACCGTTAGTGGGTCGGTTTTGAATCAAATTTGATCATAAGTAAACGAACGTTTTTGCCTTTTAGATCTCGAACATCTTATCAGATTAAATGTATTACGAAAAAAATTGCATCCCCATCTTTTTTCATTTCTATACTTCATTTTTACTCCCCGTGATGTTGAACGTCGTAACGGCTTACGTGTTTACTTAATTACTTCAGGTATAGTTTCCTGTTTTTGTCACACCAAAATTTATTTATGTATATTTGTAGAGTATATTACGAGGTTTGTTTTCGTGTTTTGCATATACTCTTCCTTTCCCTTTAGATTGGACAGTAAGGTCATGCAGTCATTTAAGTGTATACTCAGGAAAGGTATTCCATTACGAACCGCCTATCGGTAAGACTTGATTATCACTTAGCTTTCACACATATAGATATCGAAGTTATGGTGTCAAATTAAAAAGTTTTGATCCACCTTATTTGGTAAGTACAGTTCCTGATTAAATGCATATTTAGGTGAATTAGTCTGTCAAACCACCTATTCATGTTTATCAAGGTGTGCAGTTTGATGTAAGAGGACATGACTACGTGCAGCTAGAGAAGTTCACTTCATACATACACAAGTTTTTCATCAATTGTGGTTATGAAGTTGAAAAGTTTGCACTACTTTTCAATCACTTAATTTTAAATTATTTTAAATTAGTTTTCCACTGCCTCCCAGCAAGAAGCTCTACCGACTGTATCATACTAATTCGACAAATATCCGGTCAGATTTCGAAATATCTGAATTTCGAAGAATATATAGAGTATTACTACTTATTTCTGCTTACTTTTCTTGTGGTTTCTTCAGATATCGGGTGTGAAAGCTGTTCACTTACCAATATTATTAGATATGATCTACCAAAATTTATCTTCAGGGATTAAAATTCATGTTGGAAAGGTATCGTTTAATTATTAAAGCTAATAAGTTATAATTTATTACAGATGGATACTTCCTTAGATGAAAATCGTTTCGTTCCACAACTTGAAAAAGAAGCATTGGAAAAGGAACTGTCGAAACTCAAATGTTAAAAATTTCCTGATTTTCGGCATTTTGTACACAAATTCAACTAGTTCTTAAGCACTGATATTTCTGTTTATTGTTCCATTCGATCGAGAGGGTTATTTATTTATTTATTTGAACACATAAATATTGGTACAAGAGGGCACCAAATATATATGTGCCACAAAATGACTTGGTAAAAAATAGTAATAATAATAATAGTAATAATAATGATTATGTAAATCGTTTGATTGTTAATTGAAGCAAGAAAAGTATCTTCCATAAACATAAACATTTTATCATATATGTGTGTGGGCTGTGATACTGCCCGGGTTCCCAGACCGGGGCAGGTGGTTTTCTTAGGGGGCCAGACCCCGAGCCTTTGACTTAAAAGTCTGACCCACAAGGCAGTGGTGCATCGTGTGGAGATGCAGTTCAATGGAAGCCGGTGACCGAAAATCGGTTAACATGCCATTCGTTCCCTCAGAATACTAGAGCCCATGTGCACCATTGGTTTGGGATCCGGTTAAAGTGCCGGAAATTCGCTTTTCGTCCTCTCATTTTCGTAAACAACAACCCCGCTACGAGAAGGCAGTGAGTAGGACTTCCCTGGCAGAGGCTGTATACGCGTGGCCATATGAGAGCATTTCGAGAGGGAGAGCGGACTCTCCCCACTCTCGGCCATACCAAGGCATTTGGGGGCATTCGATCGAAATCTTAAGGTTAATAAAATGCTTCTGTCAGGAATTCGATTATGGTGAAAAATTCCCGTATAAATAAGGCGTAAAATATCATCCACCTATCATTATTACTTTTCCATAATTCTCACGTAATCAAGAGTAACTTTTGAGTCCCTGTCTTTAAATCTCTTATCATATTTTGCAGGTAAAGATTAAGCATTGATTCATTGTATGATTAAATTACTATATTTCCTAACTTGGGCAATAAAAGCCATTCATATATTCATCTTTAACATATGCTGTTAGTAAGAACCTAATAATAAACCATCAATTTAGTTATATTTGCTCATCAAAGTAGTTTATTTAGTTGATATTGTAAATTGTATATGTACATTAAGTTGCTAATTATGTAACGTTAAGTATTGTTCAGTTCATTGTATTCACACCCGACTCGTGATTAGATAGGTAGATCAGATATCATTTGGTGTATTTATAGTTTTGCATTTATTTTTGATGGATAATAAAGTTTCTATCTTTGGTCTTTATCTTTTCCTTTTGATCGGACCGTGTTAGTCTTTGTTCAGCTATGACAAGTAGAAAGTGTCATGTATTTATTCATTTATTTATTTGAACACATAAATATTTGTACAAGGGGGGGGGGCACCAAATATATATGCGCCACACAAAACAATGGGGATTCGAAAGAAAAATAAAGAAGGTAGGGAGCGTTAAAAAAAGAACAATACCTATCGTGATGAAGCAACTGAGCTATACTGGCTGGAACAACCGTTCCTCAAGGTCCTACCATGCCAGACAGGTCGGTTGAAGAGCGGTAAGACTAAAAGCAACAAATCCAAGGTCCGAAGGCGAAGTCGTACTGCTGACTGTACAGAGGTGTGACGGCAGTAAGTTGTTTCCTTCAGACAACTGGCATAACAGCGATTCTGTCTTCCCACAAGGAGGAGTGGGGTTACAAAAGGTCGACCCGAGAAACGCACACCTCATCTTATCTCACGGATATCCGTCTCCGGTGGCAAAGTCCCGACAATATAGGGTTGACTCGAAAACTACTCACAAAAAAGTCGTATGTGAACGGCCTCAAGCATTCGCCCCTTTGGAACTGCGGTCACGCTCTCAGGTCACTAAGACCACCTCTAACGTAATTTCCTTTCCAGGTACCTCCAGAAGAACCCTTCCACGAGGTGGGCAACTGGGAAGTGGTAATTGCCCTCATACCTCTAACAGCACTCAAGACCACTGTATTCATAATCAACCTCCCTCTTCAATTCCTATTATTCCTCCTACATCGACTTTCAAACCTAAACTTCCTCCTTTGGTTTCCTCCTCAAGTGTCACCATAGCCAACGATTCTAGTGCGCAAAACGCTGTCCCAGGTCTACTGAAACCTCGCTCCAAACTACACATTGGAACCTTCAACGTACGCACACTATGTCAAGTCGGTCAGCAGGCTTCCTTGGATAAACCCTAGAATCCTGTGTCATTGACGTATGCTGTGTCTCCGAAACACGCATACAGGATCATAGTGTCGTCATTCACTTGACCTCATCTCGGCAAAACTGAAAGCCGACGAGATACACCCTCCGTTTAACTGGCGACCCGATGGCTAGTTCTCGTGGACTGGCGGGTGTATGCATAGCACTAAGCATGAGGGCGGAACAAGCGCTATTAGAATGGATCCCCGTTAACAGTCGTCTATACGCTGTTCGGCTAAACGGCTCCATAAGATCTCGAAAGGATAGGGACACACGTCGTTGCCTTTTCGTCGTTTCTGCCTACGCTTCCACTGACTGCAGCTCGGATGAAGTGAAAGATGAATTTTACAGAAAAATCTCTGAAATTCTCCAGAAAGCTAACCGTTCAGACATAGTACTCGTAGCAGGTGACTTTAATGCTCAGGTAGGCAGCTTAAATCAAACAGAAAGACATTTAGGTGGGTATTTTAGTATTCTGGCATAGCGAACAGATAGTGGTGATCGTCTGCTGCAACTGTGCTCAGACAATCATTTACTTTTAGCAAACACAAATTTTAAGCATAAGGAGCGACATTGTGTAATATGGCGACCCCCTGCACCAAACCAACGATGGACTCAAACAGACCATATATTGCCATCAGTCATCGTTGGAGAGGGTCGATAGAAGATTATCGCTCATTTTGGAGTACCTGTTTGGACTCCGACCACTTACTAATACGAGCACGGATCTGCTTGCGCCTCACTGGACGCAAAAAAGCCACACTAAAAAGACCCGTTAGCGATGAATTGAGTAACGAGAAAAGCAAAAGTAGGTTCCAGGAACAACTGAGGTTACACTTAGGTAGTTCTGGAAACGAGGCTGACCCAGATGTTGCTTGGAAAGATATACGAACAGCTTGGTAAACAGCAGTGACATCTATTAGTGATTTAAACCAAAGGTCTACAAAGAACCAATGGATTTCTTCAAGGTCTATTGCACTGATGGACTCGCGTAAACTCATCCCATCAGAATCTGAACACGATGATGAGCGAAAGCAAGTCAGATCTAGGTTAACCAAAAGTCTAAGGAACGATCGTGAGCAGTGGTGGGCAACGAAAGCAAAAGAGATGGAAAAGGCGGCGGCTATAGGTAACACCAGACAGCTCTACGGACTCATAGAAGAAACTGGGACTAAAAAGTCTGGTGTAAGTGAGACTATCTCGGAAAAAGACGACGTTCTTATCTTCTCCCAGTCCAGACGTTTAGAACGATGGGCGGAACACTTTAAGAAGCAGTTCAGTTGGCCTTCAGCTACTTTACAACTACCCTCCATTCCCAGACAGTGTGAATGGAACATTGAAGTAGGTCCTCCAAATCTAGCTGAAGTTCAAAAGGCTATAGTTAGTCTAAAACGAAGAAGGGCAGCTGGTCCAGATGGATTGGCTCCAGAGGTCTTTACGGATGGTAGTCCAATTTTAGTGACTAGGTTGACTAATATTTTAGCTAATGTCTGGGAGTTGGACACAATCCCCTCTTACTGGTCACAATCACTTATCGTCCATATATATAAGAAAGGGTCAAAATCATCCTGTGACAACCACAGAGGGATTAGTTTAACTAGTATAGTATCTAAAATACTAGCCTCGATAATTTTCGGACGCCTAACTAAGACTCGTGAACTGCAAACACGAGAGAATCAAGCTGGCTTCAGACCTGATCGTGGATGCATAGACCACATATTCACCGTTCGTCAGGTTCTAGAACACAGACTTGGTTATCGGCGTCCGACAATGGTGGTCTTCCTTGACTTAAAAGCAGCATTTGATTCTGTAGACCGAGAGGTTCTGTGGCAGTGTTTGTCATTGAAAGGCGTACCTCAGAAGTACATAAACCTTGTGAAGACTCTTTACTCGAACACTTCTAGTCGATTCAGAGCTCATGGCGAACTGTCATCTGATTTTGAAACCTCAAATGGTGTCCGTCAAGGCTGTCCACTTTCTCCATTTTTGTTTAACTTTACCATAGACATACTGATGGAAATAACATTCTTGTCGACTGGATTTTCGGGCATTGATCTCCTACCAGGAGGTCCACTTATTGACTTAAAATACGCAGATGACATAGTCCTGTTTGGTGAAGACGCTGATAAAATTCAGAGTCATTCGGTAGCACTGAGCAACAATGCCGGGATGTTTGGGATGCGCTTCTCTCCCTCTAAATGCAAGTTGTTGCTTCAGGACTGGTCTGCGTCAACAGCTGAACTAAGGATAGGGAGTGAAGTAGTCGAACGCGTCAACAACTTCACTTATCTTAGAAGTCGGATCAGCCCTGATGGGTTGGTGTCCTACGAAATCTCATTATGCATTCGAAAGCTCGTTTGGCGTTTACCAATTTACATCACCAATGGCGTAGGCAGGATATCCGTCTATCAAATATACTGCGCAGCAGTTCGTTCTATTCTACTTTACGGCTGCGAAACATGGCCTTTAATAGTAGAAGATACTCGTAAGCTACAAGTATTTGACCACATATGCCTTATAAATATTGCTGGTATCTGCTGGGATTAACGGGTAAGTAGTAGTGAGGTTAGACGTGGGGTATTAGGAAATGATGGTAAATCAGTTGAAGTTATGAATCTTCATCGACTGAGATGGTTGGGCCACGTGTTGCGTATGCCTGAAAACCGATTACCACGACGCGCAATGCTCACTAGTGTTAGGGATAATTGGAAGAAAGTTAGGGGCGGCCAAACCAAAACGTGGCATCAGTGCTTGAAGTCACTAACTCCTAGTCTTAGCCATGTTGGTAGATGCAGACTACCTGGTTGGGGTCCGTGTGACTATCGTAACCAATGGTTGGAGACTCTTGGTGACATGGCTCAGAATCGATCACAATGGCGTAGCTGTATACACTACCCGTCTCCCCTTAAACTAAGAGATTAAAATCGCTTCATATCTTTCTTTCTACGAACTAATTCTTTCTTCTTGTATTGTATCCTTATACACAATCTTTCTTTTATATACTACTACCTTTGATGTGACTACTTCT